TGTGTGTGTGTTGTGTGTGTGGTGTGGTGTGTGTGTGTGTGTGTGTGTGTGTGTGTGTGTGTGTGTGTGTGTGTGTGTGTGTGTGTGTGTGTGTGTGTGTGTGTGTGTGTGTGTGTGTGTGTTGTTTTGTGTGTGTGTGTGTGTGTGTGTGTGTGTGTGTGTGTGTGTGTGTGTGTGTGTGTGTGTGTGTGTGTGTGTGTGTGTGTGTTGTGTTGTGTGTGTGTGTGTGTGTGTGTGTGTGTGTGTGTGTGTGTGTGTGTGTGTGTGTGTGTGTGTGTGTGTGTGTGTGTGTGTGTGTGTGTGAGTGTGTGTGTGTTGTGTGTGTGTGTGTGTGTGTGTGTGTGTGTGTGTGTGTGTGTGTGTGTGTGTGTGTGTGTGTGTGTGTGTGTGTGTGTGTGTGTGTGTGTGTGTGTGTGTGTGTGTGTGTGTGTGTGTGTGTGTGTGTGTGTGTGTGGTGTGTGTGTGTGTGTGTGTGTGTGTGTGTGTGTGTGTGTGTGTGTGTGTGTGTGTGTGTGTGTGTGTGTGTGTGTGTGTGTGTGTGTGTGTGTGTGTGTGTGTGTGTGTGTGTGTGTGTGTGTGTGTGTGTGTGTGTGTGTGTGTGTGTGTGTGTGTGTGTGTGTGTGTGTGTGTGTGTGTGTGTGTGTGTGTGTGTGTGTGTGTGTGTGTGTGTGTGTGTGTGTGTGTGTGTGTGTGTGTGTGTGTGTGTGTGTGTGTGTGTGTGTGTGTGTGTGTGTGTGTGTGTGTGTGTGTGTGTGTGTGTGTGTGTGTGTGTGTGTGTGTGTGTGTGTGTGGGTGTGCAGGTGTGTGGGTGGGTGCGTGCTTGCTTGATTGCTTGAGCAGCGGGAATAATTTTGCTCAAACCCCTTCAAACTCCCTGGACAGCTGAACTGAACCTCGTTGTGTGGACCTTGGTTGTGCGAACAAAAGCATCCTCATTCAGCCTCTCACCTCTGGTTATGAGACACCCCAGGCAAAGAAATGCCAAATAGCGGGAGGGCCCAAGGCATGATTGATGCGGTGAAAGCGAGGAACAAATTCTGCAATGAGCATGCTTCGGACAGCCGGTTTCGCGACATTTTGCTTCACTCGAGCCCGCAGAGCCGGCGCAGGCTCCGCAGCTCCTCCCCGCACACGGGGCCTCAGTCGCACGCGGCCGGAGTGCACTGACCCTGTCTTGCTTATGCAAAACGAGGGGTCCGCAGTAAAGCAACACAGTCTGGCCCCGAAGGACTGCATCGTTTCCATGTGGACAACCTTCGAGCTTCAGCACCTCCAGGCGAGTTCCCTCCTGTTCACTTTGTGGGAAAGAGGCCCTTCCATCAACACCAAAAGTGCAAGTGTCCTGTAACCCCACCCCCAAAACAAAAGCAAAAAACGGGCACCCCCAAAGAAAGACGGACCCGTTTGGCCTCGGGAAGACGGCCCACCCCTCCGTGCAGCCGCAGGAGCGGGCGTGGCCGCACGCCGTGTCCCGCAGCTCCAGCGGGCCCACCGCCGTGCGGTGCAGGTGCAGCAGCCGGAGCCCTGAGGCCGAAAGGACCCTCGCTTCGGCATTGACGTTGCCAAGGGCGACATGACCCCACAAGACTCTAAGACTAAAATAGCCAGAATAACCATGTAGCAATAAGTAGTAGATAGTAAGAGTTCTGATGAGAATGGGAAACAGAACATGTGAGAAACAATTGACAACACGTCAAAACATGGGACCAATGCGTTCTGGCCATTTCGAGGGTGCCTCCAAGACCTCCAAGCGAGTTGCGCGTGCCGCAGGATATGGGTCCTTTCCATGTACCGATCGGGCAAACCGTTTTGGGGTTACCCGATTTTGTTCACCCGCATCCATGTGAAACCCTTGGAAATTCAGCGCAAGTCATCAACTCATCTTGAGGATAGGTCCGGTTCAGAGTAGGGCTTTGGGGCAAGACGACCCTCCGTGCTTTCCCCAAGAAGAGCGCGCGCTTTCAGCAAAAAACGACTGCAGGAAGCCTCCACCGGTTTCTGGCCTGACCGAGCCACCAGCCGCCGGATCTGCCGGTTCCTGCGCCGGAAGCATGGGCAATGATGATCCGAGGTGCATTCACAGCTCGGAACATGTTACAAATGCTACATCAGTGGCGAGGCCAAAGAGTTTTTCGTCTGTGGATAGATTCGGTTCGCGTGCTTTGATTGGTATGTAGTATTGGGCTTGTACCTTTCACTGCCAGCCAGCAGCAGTGATTTCAACGCCCCAACTGTGCGATCAAGATCGAGAAGGACAAATTTGTGGCCAGGTGGCGGTACAGCAAGGTGGCCTAAGGATCAATGCAAGGCGTGCAGCCCTGGTGGAGCGTAGCAATGCCGCCTGCTTGTGAGATAGCTCGAATGTAACGAGTGGTGGGAACAAAAGGCCTTTTTCTGTCGGCGAGTTCAGGAACCAATTCGTTCGTTCGGGGTGGAAAAAGCCCTGCCATTAAGAAATACCCAGCCAAACATCTGCCCTGCACTCCCAACTCCCACCACCCAACCGCGTTCACCACATAGGTGCGGCTCGAAATATTCGCTGATATCCCAAAAAGGTTGGTATGCAAAACCGTCCCCACCAAGCCCAACATCGCCGGCCAAACTCGGAAGACCTGCCTGCCCTCGCGCAAGGTGAACTCCAGCAGGGACCGGTGGCCCAGGAAGGCAGGCTTCTGGGAGCCCGGATCCTCCTGGAGCAACCAAAATTGCACCCGTGTCCATGTGGGGTGTGGATCCATGGGGCAAACTGGGCCCTGGTAAATGGAAAAAAAGACTAAAACCTGCGGCCCATATCCTGGAGGCTTAATTTTGACTCATACCCTTGTGTTGCTTGTCGCGCTGGTGTTCCACTGCCAGGAATCAACGAACCTGTCAAGACGATGGGCGCGCAAGCCCAGCCTCTCACACCCAAAGGGGACATGGTTTTGGTGTTTGAATCTGGCAGCTGGTAATACACCGGTGATTTGGACGGTGTCCTTTGGGTGAATTTCTGGCTTTGGAGCCTTTGGCCCGGTCAGGAGCCACACATGTGCGACGAATAAGAAAGCTTGGTTTGGAAGGCCAGAGCGTTTGAGTCAGAACTGCTGAAGTTATGTGCCCAAAATGTACAAAACCAAACGCAAGGTTCCGCAAGGTTGCACTTGTCTATCGTTGCTGTCAACTGTTGAGCTTCATCTACCACCCTTCGGACTCTCTTGACAGATACATGTATATATATATATAGGCAGATATTTAGCTATTTGTTTCATTCACTCATTTATGATTTGTGTGTTCCACAATTTACTGTAGAGGTTCTTGATTCTTTTGAGAGTCCACGGGTTCGCCTGGACGGGTTGCCGCCTTGTCTTGTCCCACCTTGTCTCCTTGCATATGTGTGTTGCAAGGCCGGTCAAGGTTCCTATGGGTTATTGCAACTTTGTCTCCTCCCTTGTCTCCCCTTGTCTCCCTTCCGGGTCAAGATCTCCGTTCCTGTGTGTTGCAAGGCCGGTCAAGTTCGGACAAGTTCCTGCCGCTCCGTCTGCCCTTGTGTCCCCTTGTCTCCTGTCAATGTGTCCCCTTGACAAGCTCAGGCAGGTTCTTGCCGCTCTAAGGTTGGACGGGTTCTTGCCACTTTGCCTCCCCTTGTCTCCCTTCCTCTGTCAAGGTCGGACGGGTGTCTCCCTTGTCTCCCCTGGTCGAAACTGTTTGGGGTCTTCGGTGGTGTAATTTGTGAATGTCCATCAAGCATGTGCGAGAGCATTCCAACCATTGAAGTCCAAAGGGGGAACTCCCAGAACGTGTGGCTTGCCTCTGCCTGCTCTTTCAGACCCCAAAAAGGGCCGATACCCATGGCCCCGTGTTGATTGAAGGTCCTCCCACTGCCGCAGCAGGCGCACCTGGCCCAACTTGGGTGTGTCTAATAGCTGTCTGATGGGCAACCAAAGGAAAACCAAAGAGAAACCATCCGGATCCCACATCAACCCAAGTGCAGCCGCTTATTAGTGGATTTCGAATGTAAGCCGTTTCACATAAGCCGATTCGAGAAGAGCCAAGTTTTGACATGCTCTTTGCCTGAGGTGGGAAAGCATGGTCGTGAGACCTTTCCATGCCAGGATTTTAACAATTCAATGCACTTCTCCCAGGGCACAATGCAGATTATCCGCATGGATTGCAGGACACCTTGTCACAGGTAATTAGCTGCCATGTTTAACACGTCCGTCCTAACCTTGGGGGTCGCTTCGGATGGGTTTAAGTAGAAACCAAAACGAAACCTACATTTCTTTGGGGGGTTCCCACTCTTTGGAAGCACAGGTCAAACAGAGTCCCCAACACACTCTCCCAGGAGCCCGAGAGACGAGCGACGTGCGAGCCAAGGCAAAGGATCGACGGGCAAACTGTTGGAGGCGTTCATGCCCCGAAGCAGGGTTCCTTTTCTGCCCCGGTCAAACATCACCACGAACAACTGAGCTTAACTTAACAGACCCAAATGATGATGGTTAAACCGTTAAACCACCTAAGGGCATTTGGTGCTCTGGCCCCTTTCTACCTTCATCGGGTCCATTCCCTTGCTCGTTGGGTTGTGCCTGCGCTGGCTTGGTCCAAGTCTTCTGGCCCGAGTTGGTGGCCTTCTGATGGTAGAGGTACCTTGCGCTGAACGGCGGCTTCTCAGGGGTGGAAACATGCCGCCCCAAAGAACGAAAGCGACTCCAAACAAAGGGCTTGGATCGAAAGGCTGAAAAACCGGGCCTGGAATCCCACCTGGAGTGAGTGAGAAATCTGGTGGTTTCGTCTGCCAAGGGAACGAAGTGCTCCATTTGCGTGAAGCCCCTTCAAAGGGACATGAAACTGCAACGTGTTATCTTTCTCACACAGGAACAATGGAGGGGGGGTTGTCCCAAAACATATGCACCCCCGCCCCCTTGGATTTCATTTTCAAAGCAAGACCCCACCAAAACGACTGCTACTCAAAAAGCGGCGTTCACATCGACCGAAAGACCTCCAGCCAAGGTGCGGGTCGGACAGGCCGCGAATCCGCTCGTCCGCCGGCTGCCAGTGTCCCAGCACCTCACTTTGATCCACGGGTCCGTTGTGATTGCCGTCTTTTCGTGAGGAAACCCCCTGGTTCAGCTGCCAGGAGTCAGCTTTCACATGTCCTCATGACCCCTTCAGACATCTGAGTCAGACCGGCATCTCTTGCATGGCCCGCACAGAGCGGCCGAAAGCCGACGAGATGATAGCCGGAACACACATATTAAATCTTGCTCCCCAGTCATGTTCTTGTCCTAAAGCTTGGATCAGCTGTCATCTCTTTCCACCGTGCTTCATTCTCTGGGATCGCCAGCTGCAACAGAGAGACAAAGAAATTAAAGGAGTTGCCCAAAGAAATGAAAGGAGTTGCCCGTCACTTCCCTCTCTCACCTGGCGTGCCTTGCCTTTCGCTTTGCCATCAACCCGCGGAACGAGAGCGTCTGAGCCCCCGGGCCGTGATTTCATAGCGCTTCTCCAACGCGGCCTTGCCAAGGCCGCGGTTCAGCTCCCTGACTGCGCCGCTCCCAAGTCCGAAGTCCCAAGTCCGAGCGGCGCATGGAGCAGGACAGGACGCCACCGGTTTGGCGACGGCTCCCCGTTGAAATCCCGCCAAATTGGGGGTCCCGAGGCTCACACAGCCAAATCTTCAAAGACTTAGATCGCGTCTCCTTTCGCATCCCATCATTTCTTGAATCTTATTCCACCGCCTTCTGCGGAAGTCCGTGCACGACGAGAGTTCATCAGTCGCTGGCCATCGCACAAATTGCTGCGGGTGCCTCGGTCCATTTTGACGTCCCTGCCAGTGGCCCTTTCCAACCGGCCAAAACATGTCATGTGTCCAGCCAGACTTCAACACTAAACTAGAATTGGGCGATCCTACACCGAATTACCAGATTCTCTGCCAACCCCGGCTGCCCTCGTAGTAGGGCGGGTACCTGTAGCATATCCCTGTGAGTCTCACTCCAAAAGACATTCCAAGCTTTATTAAACAACCAACATCCTGAACAAGCGTTGATTCCCGAATAACAGGGTTACAACATTGGGAAAATCTGCTGCGCTGGAAAAACCGTCAATTTGGCAAGGACGGGGGTGGAGTTTGTTGGTAGACCAATACCGTTTTTGTCTTAGACAATTGTGCAATATCATGAGGAGGCCGCTGGCACTCATGTTCGAGGGAAGCACTTTTTGGACATCCCCACCCGAAAAGGCACTGCTATCCCCCCCAAAACCAGCAATCGGAACGTGTCAGGTGCCCCCACCTGCCTGTCCTCCGTCATCACCTGAGGACCAGTCGACTTCGAGCGTCCTCTCCAATTTTGGGACGGCCCCAATTCATCCGCAGCAACCCTGACAAAGTCAAACCTTCATACCTGTGGCCAAGGCATGAAGGCATCTTTGGGGCAAAGCGGTGAAAGTCATGTACCCCTTGCCATGTGAAGGCTCCAAACTGCATCCGAACAAATGTACAATAGCTGCATCCAGTGAAAAGGAACCAGAGTGAGCGGCGTAAAACCTCCTGCTACACCATGGTTCGATCACTTTGCATGCGCTCGGTCTGCTCCAAGAGTTCCCCTTGCAACATCTTCTCCGTATGAAACCTCAGAACATGAAGCTCTGCTCGCACTCATGCCTCTTGCTCCAGCAGCAATTGACATAACACAAGCTAGGTTCAAGCAAGCGACCCCTTGCTAGCCGAGACCAAAAACTCACTTGCCTCATGTGTTGCGTTGCTGCTCTTCGGTTTGTCCTGTTTGGCTCGGCTTCTTTTATGTTGCGCTTGGATCGTTTTTTTGTGATGTGTTGTTTCGCAAACAAAGCCATGTACCCAGCACCACCCGCGAGCCACACTGCCACACTGCCATGCGCAGCCCAGGCGCGATGAGTCCCGTGGTTTCCAAATCCAGCCTGCCAACTGCTCCCACGTGTGCCGGCGCATCCGGCAGAAGGCCTTGCAACTGCTTAGAGCTCGCAGCTCTGCTTTCTGTTCAATGATGTTTTCTCAACTCAGAATGTCTGAAAACTGACAGGTAGCAAACACCAGAGTTCGCCTCGGCCCCAAAGGGGCCAAGGGCGCTCAGATCTCTTCTCCAAAGAGAATCTTCGCTTTTCCCCTCCCTGACCAAAATTTTGCCGGCCCGCCCCCCCCCCCCCCCCCACCCATGTCGGCTGGGCCAAAAATCCTGTCCGGCGGGCCTTGAAATTTTCGGGGTTCGTCGGCGTCCAGCTCCATGGGTCCATTCTTGTCGAAAATGTGCTGACAATTGCTAAAAAATCCTTTTTTGTCCCGAAAGCATGACCTCCTGGTGGCCAGGCCTGTCTGACGTGTCTGAGACTAGGCTCCTGCTGGCCAGGCCTGTCAGCCCAGCCCAGCTACTAAGCCTGTCTGACGTGCCCCAGCCTTTCAGTCCGGCTGCCAAGCAACTCAGCCCAGGCTGGCCAGGCCTTGACCTCCTGCTCGCGTCTGGCCCCAAGTCATCCAGCAGGCCCAGCCCCTTCGGCGCAGTCTGAGACTGGTCTCAAAGTATGCCAGCCTGAGACTAGACTCAGGCCCAGTCCCTCAGCCCGCCTGCTGGCGTGTCTTACGTGTCTGCGACTGGCCTCAGGCCCAGCCCAGCCAGCAACTCGCCACCCAGCCTCAGGCCCGAGTGTGTATGAAACAGGCCTTGCCCATCCAGCAACCCGCAAGCACAGCTCAGCCCAGCCCAAGTTCCAGGTGCAACCAGCAGCGTAGTCCGGCTGCCCGGCAGCCAGCAACCCACCCATGGCTTCGCAGCCTCGTGGCTGAGACTAGCTTCAGGCCCAGCCCAAAGCCTGCCCAGCCCAGGCCCCGGCGCATCTCAGCGCATGCCAGCCACTACCAGCTCCCAGCCCACCACCCAGCGCGCCAAGGTCTAACGTGTCTGAGACTGGCCTCAGGCCAACGACCAGTCTCACGTGTCTGACTGGTCTCAACTACTCAGCAGCCCAGGCTGACCAGGCCCCTTCGGCGCAGTCTGAGACTGGTCTCAAGGTATGCCAGCCTGAGACTAGCCTCAGGCCCAGTCCCTCAGCCCGCCTGCTGGCGTGTCTTACGTGTCTGCGACTGGCCTCCAGCCAGCAACTCGCTACCCGTCTCAGCCCATCCAGCGACCCGCCCAAGCACAGCTCAGCCCAGCCCGCCCAGCCGAAGTTCCGGCTGCCCAGCAGCCAGCAACCCACCCATGGCTTCGCGGCCTCGTGGCTGAGACTAGCTTCAGGCCCAGCCCAACCAGCAACCCGCCTAAGCCAACCCCACCCAAGCCCACCCTGACTCGCAGGCCTCAGCCTATCTAGCGCCGAGACTGGGCCTCACCAGCCTGGGCTCAACTAGCGTCTAGCCCAGCCCAGTCCGCCTGCTGGCCAGGCCTGTCTGACGTGTCTGACACTGGCCTCAGGCCCAGCCCAGCCATAGCCCAGCCCCCTCAGTGCGGCTGCCCAGCCCGCCGTAAACTAGCTTCAGGCCCAGCTCAACCAACAACCCACGCAAGCAAGGTCCAGCCAAGCTGCCCGAGACTAGCTTCAGGCCCAGCGCAGGCTTATCTGTGTGTCTGAGACTAGCCTGTGGCCCAGCCCAACCAGGCGAGGCCGGCTTGTCTGACTTGTCTGGAGCTAGCTTCAGGTATTCGGACCTTCCCAACACTGGATTTCGGTGTTCCTGACCCTTCCCTCAAACTAGGCTGGGCCGAGGCGGGCAACGCGAAGCGTTTACAATTAACTTCACACATCACCAACACCGAACAAGGGCTCCCTGTGAAAGGAATGCTCTTCATGGGTAGGTGTGTCTGTGATTTGCCCGAACACCCAGACTGCGAGCTTTGGTTTGTGGATTTGCGACGGTTCCGCATTTACTGCAGGGGAGGGGGCAAGGTCACGCGTTTGGATGTGCAAACAACACAGGAACTCCCCCCAAACATTGCTACCCTGAACATGGAATTGTCTGAAAGGGGTGCCCAATCCTTTCCCCCCAAACGTAGACCCTCAAAGACCGCTGGGTCATTCACCCCGCCAGCCGGTGCCTCGCGCGACAAGGGAATCGAAGACCTCATAGACCTTGGCCCGGAAGGAACTTGGCTCCCCGATGGTAGGAAACTGGTCCGAGTTGTGGCACGGGTCATTTCGAGGGCTGCCCTGGAGAACCTCCAGAGTGTCTTGCTGAAAATGACAAGCCCCACCAAAAAGTTGTCTTTTGGGATTGAAAATACAAGATGCCTGCACATCGGAGAACGAGCAATGCCTTCTGCTTTTGTTCGGCGAAATGTCGCGAACCCCACGTTCTGAAGGCCACTCTTTGTCGAACTCCGGCCCATCTAGGGCTGGAAAATGCTTGACAAGGCCGGTGTCGCCGGATCGCAAGGCGCCAGGGTTGGAATGTACTTCACTTTGGGGCTTGGATTTAATGATTCCCCTGGGATCGAGGCTCGGGCGAACGGACATGGACTCTGTTCAAACCAAATTTCTAGAACAGCTTGAGTTGCCAATTGTGCCGACACGTGAATATTTAGAACCTGGGGTTGGTTCAAGTTCAGGCCAAACGAATATGGGCATGAATGTCAATTGATTTGAGCATCTCGTTTGTCTCCCTCACCTTCAAAAAGACACACCCACCGGATGTCACATACTGAAACCAGTGGACCGACTGATGTTCAACCAAATTGCGTAAGGCCCCAGGCTTCCGCACGCTATCTCGGCCCAGTGCATCCCGACGCTGGCTCACCACCCCTGCCGGCCTAGGCGAGCCAAAGGGCCTGGGAAGAAATCTAGGAGTAGGCCCAAATGCAATTGCCGCGTTGTGTGTGTGTGTGTTTGATGTACCAGTAAAAAAGGGCGAAGCCGGCAGGCGGCAGCTCCAGACATACAACACCTATTGTTATATTTATCTACCTTAAATTTCTGTTTGTCGTCTCTCTTCCGTCTTTCTTTAACTGCTCATGTATTTACTTCTTTGTTTACTTATTTATTCTGTTTGTTCTTTCTTTCTTTATGTCTTTCTTTCTTGCCTGCTTGCTTTCTGTATTTATTTATTTCTTTATGTATTTCCCTCTTTCTATCTTTCTTTTCTTTCTTTCTTTCTTTCTTTCTTTCTTTCTTTCTTTCTTTCGTTCTGTGTTTCTTTCGTTCTGTGTTTCTTTCGTTCTTTATTTCTTTCTTTTTTCTTTCTTTCTTCCTTCCTTCCTTCCTTCCTTCCTTCCTTTCTTTCTTTCTTTCTTTCTTTGTTTCTTTTCATTTCGTTTCATTTCATTTCGTTTCGTTTCGTTTCGTTTTGTTTCGCGTTGTTTCGTTTCGTTTCAATTATTGATTCCTTTCTTTCTTTCTTTCTTGATTTATTTATTGTATTGTCTTGTCTTTTCTGTTCTTTTCATTTATGTCTTTCTTTCGTTCTTTCGTTATTTCTTTCATGTTATGTTATTTCATTTCATGTCATTGAATTTCATGTCATTTCATTTCATTATTTCTTTGTTTCTTTGTTTATTTCTTCCTTTCTTTCTTGCTGAATTATGTTCTTTCTCTTCTTTTCTTTTCATTTCTGTCGTTCGTTCTTTCTTTTGTCCTTCTGTCACTCTGTCTTTCTGTCTTTCTGTCTTTCTTTCTGTCTTTCTTCTTTATCTATTTATTTATGTCTTACTTTCTGTATTCCATTATTTCTTTCTGTATTTGTGTCTTTCTTTCTTTTTGTTGTTTTCCTTCTGTATTTCCGTCTTTGTTGTCTGTCTTTCTTTCTAGTTTGCCTTTCTTTCGGTCTGTATTCTCTGCCCTTTCTTGCTTTCTGTCTTTCTTTCTGTCTTTCTGTCTTTCTGTCTGTCTTTCTGTCTTTCTGTCTTTCTGTCTTTCTGTCTTTCTGTCTTTCTGTCTTTCTGTCTTTCTGTCTTTCTGTCTTCCTGTCTTTCTTTCTTTCTTTCTTTCTTTCTTTCTTTCTTTCTTTCTTTCTTTCTTTCTTTCTTTCTTTCTTTCTTTCTTTCTGTTTTTCTTTCTTTCTTTCTTTCTTTCTTGCTTTCCTTCTTTATTAATTTTCATTTTATTTTATTTCATTTCATGTCATGTCATTTCATTTCATTTCATTTCAATATGTATGTCCTTCTTTCTTTCTGTCTTGCTTTCTTTCTTTCTTTCCTTCTTTCTTTCTTTCCTTCCTTCCTTCATTCCTTCCTTCTTTCTTTCTTTCATTATTTCTTTCTTTGTTTTTTTCGTTCTTTCTTTTCTTTTCTTTTCTTGTCTTTGCTTCTCTTCTCTTCTCATTTCTTGATTTCTTTCTTTGTTTCTTTCTTTCTTTCTTTCTTTCTTTCTTTCTTTCTTTCTTTCTTTGTGTCTTTCTTTTCTTTTCTTTTCTTGTCTTTGCTTCTCTTCTCTTATCTTCTCATTTCTTTCTTTCTTTATTTCTTCTCTTTTCTTTTCTTGTATGATATGTTCATTTCTTTTTTCGTTCTTTCTTTCATTTCATTTCATTTCATCTCGTTTCGTTTCGTTTCATTTCGAATCCAGTTCGAATCATTTCATGTCATTTCAATTCATTTCACTATTTCTTTCTTTTTTGCTTTCTTTCTTTCTTTTCTTTTCTGTTCTTATCTGTTCTTTTCATTTCTTTGCATGTATTTCTTTCTTTCTTTCTTGTCTTTTCTGCTCTTGTCTTTTCATTTCTTTCTTTATGTATTTTGTTGTTTTCCTTCTTTCTTTCTTTCTTTCTTTCTTTCTTTCTTTCTCTATTTCTTTCTTTCTTTCTTTCATTTCATTTCTTTCATTTCATCTCATGTCATGCCATTTCACTTCATTTCATTTCATTTCATGTCATTTCATTTCATTTCATTTCATTTCATTATTTATGTCCTGCTTTCTTTCTGTCTTTCTTTTTTCCTTTATTTTCATTTTATTTCATTCTATTTCCTTTCATTTCATTTCATATCATGAATTCTGTCTTTCTTTCTTTCTTTCTGCCCTTTTTGCTTACTTTCTTTCCTTCCTTATCTCTCCTTGTCTTGCTCTTGCTCTTTATCCTTCTACCTCTCCTTCTCCGCCAACCTAGGTATCTCTATCTTCCTACACAAGCAATCCAGCCATCTATCTATCGACCTACCTTTCTATTCATCAGTCTTTCTTAATCTATCTGTAGATTTGAGCCCTCTATCGGCAGGTGACTCCCTTTGGTCGAAATGTTCGCTCACTTTGGTCCTTGCTGTTTTTCTGCGCCGTCAATACCAAAAATGGAAGAACCCGCACAGACAGTGACTCACTTTCGTCCTAGTCATTGCTCATTTTGGTCGCAGTGGTTTTCTCACTTTGGTCGTACTTGTTTTGCCGGTACTGCGCTTCATGATGACCAACTCACATCACTTTAGGTTTTTTGCTGCCCCTGTCACTTCTTCAGGTAGTCAACACATCACTTTACGGTTTGCGCTGCGCCTGTGACTTCTTCAGGTAGTCGACACATCACTTTAGGGTTTCCACTGCGGCTGTCACTTCTTCAGGTACCCAACACATCACTTTAGGGTTGCTGCTGCGCCTGTCACTCCTTCAGGTAGCCAACACATCACTTTAGGGTTTCTGCTGCGCCTGTCACTCCTTCAGGTAGCCAAGACATCAGTTTAGGGTTTCTGCTGCGCCTGTCACTTCTTCAGGTAGTCAACACATCACTTTGGGGCTTCTACTGCGCCTGTCACTCCTTCAGGTAGCCAGCACAACAGTTTAGGGTTCGGGGTTTAGGGTTTAGGGTTTAGGGTTAGGGTTTAGGGTTTAGGGTAGGGTAAACAGCCTAAAAGCAGGGCGGCAGCCCGATATTCGAAGAAGCGATGATTCAACAAAGGTTTTTTTGTGTAAACATCAAAAAAACCAGCGGGGGGGGGGTGGGGGGGGGGGGCGGCAGCCCCCCCCATGAGATTCGAAGAAGTGATGATTCAACAAAGGGAGCACTGATATCTGTGAACACTCTGGGAGAAAGAGAAAGAGAAAGAGAGAATGATTTTCGAAGAAGCGAGGATTCAACAAAGGGTGCGTTTTTTTGTGTAAACATCCCAAAAACCCGCGGGGGGGTTGGGGGGGCTGCCCCCGTGATATTCGAAGAATCGATGATTCAGCAAAGGGTGCGTTTTTTGCGTAAACATCCTAAAAACCAGCCGGGGGGCTGGGGGGGCTGCCGCCCCATGATATTCGAAGAAGTGTTGATTCAACAAAGGGTGCATTAATATCTGTAAACACTTTAAGAGAAAGAGAAAGAGAAAGGAACCTCCACTCAGGGATAGGCCCTGTGCTGCTGCCTCTGCTGCTGCTGCGACGCCCTTGGCAACAGCCACTTGAGGAAGCCCTGTGATGGCACAAGAAAAAAGACAGGCGGAAGAGAAACCCTAGGCTCATTGTCTCCAGCTAAAAGCCAGTGATTGGAAAGCAGGAAGCCCCGAAAGACGTGTAGGAATCGAGGAAGGAATCGAGGAAGGAAGGAATTAAAGAAGGCAGGAAAGAAGAAATTAAGGAAAGGAAGGACGTCTGAAACATTTGGAGAGCGTCTCAGGAATCTGCGGATGCACCATTTGTTGAATCGTCACTTCGTCGAACATCATGAGGGGCGCCGCACCCAACCCCCCTGCTGGTTTTTTGAATGTTTGCAGAGATTATCGCACCCTTTCTGGAATCACCACTTCTTCAAATAGAATATCTTTCTCTTTTTCTCTCTGTCTCTCGCAGAAGCAGCATCAACAGCAGCAGCTCCAAGCTGCCCTTTGCAGCGGCTGGGAGAAGGTCTGAGACTGGCTTGCGCAGCGAAGAATCCGCATGCAAAGTTCTGGCCCAACAACACACCGCTGCATTTATGGATGTGCTTCCTTGTTTACTATGAAGCACAAGGCCTTCTAGGCTTCAACGTGTTTCAAAGGCATGTCCTCTAGCCCGCAGAAGGCACACGCTGTCTCCATCACATTTTTTCTCTGCTGCGAGCCATGTCATGCACGGAGTTTGTTGTTTGTCATCGTGCAGGGTCAACACCATTCCTAATTTACCCCGCGGTATCCACGGGAAAAACATCAACACAGAGGCGCGAGCCTGCGGATAACATCAGGGCATCTCAGATGCCTCAGATCCTGAGCTCCAATGCAAGACTTCTGCATCACCTTCTACGCGGCGGCGCTGGCGGACAGCAGACAAGCGGCCCACGATACCACACCACACACGCTTCGCGTGCTTCCATTGCCCGCAGGTCTCCTTGTTGCAGCCGGCCGTTTCAGCACGGGCTTACGCTCGCGGTGAGCCGGCTTCTTAGCCGGAAAAACAAAACAGAATGCAAGCATGAGCGCAAACCAAGCTCATGCAAGGGTACCTGCCCTCACGTGCCCACACAACAAACATAAAGCCGGGTTGATCCAGTTCAACGCCAAAGTGTGCTAGGACCGAAGCGAGGAGCGCGCAGTTCAGTGCGCATGCGTGCTAGGACCGAAGCGAGAAGCACACTAGGACACAAGCGAGACAACACTAGGACTAAAGCGAGAAACAACTGGGACCGAAACGAGTAAAAAACTAGGACCGAAGCGATGCCGCGACCCCCTCTACCTATCTATATACGTACCTATCTGTCTGTCTATCTATCTATGTAGCCATTTGCATATCTGTCTACCTGCCGATTTGTCTATCCGTCTATCCGTCTATCTGTCTATCTGTCTAGCTGTCTATCTTTTTTGTTCAGTATCTATTTCCTGTTTACTTGTCTATCTGATCTGTCCATCTATCTATCCATCCATCTATCTACCCACCTGGACTATCTTGTCTGTCTGATCTTGTCTATCTATCTTGTCTGCGTATCAATCTGTCTACCTACTTGTCGGTCTTTCTGGCCTATCTACTTGTCTGTCTATCTATCTTGCTAGCGAGCTTCCAACCTAGCTGCTGCGCTATCTAATCTACCTCTCGACCTACATTTTGTTCTCTCTCTCTCTCTCTCTCTCTGTCTCGCTCTCAATCAATAAATCGATCAACCTTGCGGAAATGCTGCACTTGATCTTGCAAAGGTGCTGCGCCTGCCACGAAATTAGCGCACGACGTGTATCAATCTATCTTGTCTGTGTGTCTATCTGTCTGTTTACCTCTCGGTCTGTCTTTCGGGCTAACTAGTTAGCTATCTATTTACTTATCTATCTATCCAACTATCCAGCTAGGTAGCTCTGCATCTATCCCTCTATCTACCTGCTTCTCTACATATCTATCTCTCTATCAGTATCTATCTATCGACCTTGCGAAAGCGTCTCCACGAAATCTGCGCATGACCACGCGAAAGTGCTCCGCCACGACAAATGTACTGAACCTTGCGAAAGAGCTGCGCCGGCCATGAAAAATAAGCCATGGGTCCCGGCTCCGAACGTGTTTCGAGAGTGCTCCGCGAGTGCGCGCGCATTTTTTTTGCCCGTGCTTCTTCTGCTCTGGTCATCTGTTAGTTGCCGTAACGCGGAACTTCCTCTTTTGATAAGTAGACGTGACATACTTGGTAACCCGAGGGTGCTCCTTGCTGGTCAGCTTGGGTGAAAAATTGGGGCCAATGGGCTCCACTTGCTTCAAAACAATGGTCACTGAGTCTACGTTGGATATCCAGCAAGGAATGGACGAAACGCTGCACAGGCAACGACGCAAACATTCTTTGGAAGGAATGTGTGCTGAGGTCACTTCATATGGGTATACGGTATACGGTATAAGTTTAACTTGAGCCCCTTGGGTGGACTTCACGGAGAGAGTGTATTTATGCCCCTTTTACCATGTTTGAGGGCTTTCCGCCTTTGAATCATGGCAGCCATATTCCAAGTGTCCCTGACCGCGGCAATGTTTTGGTAGATATACCAACCTTTCGAAGCAGATTTAAGTCTGAACATTTCAGTCCTAGGATCAATATTGGTCATCCCAACTTTTGGACACTTTGACGGCACAATAAGCAGTGCCAAGGAGCTGACTGAGAAGTTGTCAAACTGCAGGCGGATTGTGCAGCTCCCAAGGAACTTCCAGGGACCGATAGCAGCGGACAAAGATGTTTGTCTGTCACAAACATGCGGCACGCATCAGGCAATCAATTTTGCTTGCAGGTGCTTGGATGTGTCACCTAGATGTTTGCCAAGTGCTCTAGAAAGCGGGCTTCGCCGCAATCCAATGTCCCTTGCCGAGCTGCTTGTGCAGGATGTAGGTGCAAAAGCCGCGCCATAGGTATGCCTTGCCAAGTCTCAAGGAAATTGGCTTGGACCCGCCATGTGAAGAAACAGATTCCTGCTTTGCCACGAGTATAGTGGATTGAGCCATTGCTACCTGAAGGAAACGGAGAAGGGGCATGGCTATCAATTCCTAGATGGTCGAAAGAGTAAATAACTTTGACCAGAGCCAAATGGACCAGTTGAAAGCAACACCATATGCCTCGCAAACCGGTGCCGGTCGCCTGTACGCAATATAGGCGCTCACAGCCATGTCAGCCGAGAGAATTGAGTGAGTCTGAGCTGGCTTCAGGTTAGCTTCCAATGTCGGGATGGGGCAAAAGGGGGTCACGCAATCTGGCATGTACCCGCTCGCGGCCAACGTCCGCGCCAAGACAGCACAGATCAAGAACAGTTGCGGAGACAAAGGAGCCTCTGGACAAATCAAGTCAGTCGGTTTCCAGAAAGCATGTGCACCTCGGATTGATCGGACCGGGACTCACAGGGAACAAATTCATGGTAGGGGGACTCCTCCAATCAAGGGATCTACAAATCCTATGGGCGTCCCCGTTGAGAGCCTAAAGGATCAACTGCGCTGCCCAGGCCCAAAGGCAAAAGCGGCAATGAGTTCCCGTCATGTTGTGGCATCCTTTCCAACCCAGCCAGCCAATCAACCTGGCAATTAGCTAGCCACCCACCCACCCTCTTGCCCAGCCAGCCAGCCAGCCAACAAACCAAACACACAATGCAAAGAACCAAAGTACATCAACCCCAGTTGACAACCCCAGTTGACATACTCCCTGTGGGTCTGCAGGTAATAATATGCAACGGCATGGCAGCTCCAAGTCACCATCAGTGTTGATACGTTGCTTTCAGGGACAGGATGGGATAGCTGCCTTCATCTTCTCTGGTCCCTCACCACAACCTCCATCCCTCACACCGCTCACGCCCCTTCGCCCCCTCTCCGTGCCTGGCGGCTTGCCAGCAGAAGCGCCAAACCAACGCTTTGCACCCGCGGCATGAGCGGCCATGGTAGAGCCCCCAGCTGGATGGAAGGCTTGGCAGACAAAACTGGTCCATATATTTCCAGCCAAAACGAAGGTGGTCCAAACATCACCTTTTCGGCCAACTTGCCTTTAAGAACTGTTCGTTAGGTGAGATATTTAATGGGAAGGTATGAGGAACGGGTCGAGCAAGGCACCCGAAACCAGCAACCCTCACTTCAGAGTTGCTTCTTGACTACGGTCAGGCGTGATCTGCTGGCGTGCCAGATGAACAGCCATGGAAGGGCATCCAATGCCAATCACCTTGAGCCGGCCCAGACTTTCCGTCTTATCAGTGAGTGAAGGTCTCTGTTCAGGATTCCGTAGTATCACCATGGGGCTTTGCAGCTTGTATTCCATTTGTCCATATCAAGAAAAAAGAAACGGATGTGCGGATCTGGAGCGCAGCAAACCGCCGATTGCGAGCAAAGGATCCCCTGAAAGACTTTCATCACGTGTGAGCTTCCCTTGCCTCAAATGAGCCCGGACAAAACTACTTGTTTCCCCAAGAGGGCATGGACAAAAGGGCTGGCCCCGTGGCTTTTGTGGAGCTTGAGTGAGACCCTCATGTCCTCCCCAGACAAACAGTAGACTCAGTAGACTACCTGCAACCTAAAGCTCGATATAATTGGAGGTCCATGGCCGCTGACACCAGGCACAGCCCGACAGCCCCATGCCCCACCAGCTGCTTGTTGCTCCGCATCCCTCGGCGCACGCTGGCCACGCCGTGCACCTTGTTGTCGAAAGTGCCCGCGGCCTGCAGTCGCCAGGTCTTTTCTGGGTGCACGGGGAACCCTGTGCTATGAACACATCACCAACTCCCAAAAGAGAACTCACTTTCGAAAAGATGCTTGAAAACAACAAAATGTGAAATCGAGTTGCGAGCCAAGCACCGGTTTGGGCTTGTGGCAGTGACTTCAAGGGAACCGAGCCAACTGGGTCTGCCACAAATCCCATTCCCTGAGAAAAACTGTGGGTCCCCCCGACAAAGTGAAGATGGGGACGGGGGACGCCCCCCTACAGACCCACCACCTGTGGGTTGGTGTTACGCCTCGGGTATTAAGGCGAAGGCCCGCCGAACGTCGAAACTCGGACGCAAGCAGTCTTTGGATTGCCTGAGGCTTAAACGCTCTGATTTGGACTCCGAGCTCCGAGTTCCGCCAACTTGACAAGGGACCCAGCAATGGCATCCTCTCCCTCCTAATGAACCAAGTGTCGGGATCCTTGTAGTGGTTGCCACTCCGCTTTCTCCGTTCCTCGGGCCCAGGCGGTCTTCAAGCCCCAGGCCCGCTCCACGTGGTGTGCCAGGTTGCACTCATAGGTGACCTCAAGCTCAAACCATCACTGCACAGGGGTATGGGCGATGAAAGGTGGGTGGCTCCACTCTGAGGCGAACACGCAAATGATTCACTGTAGTTGAAACAGGTAATATTACCTGGTGAAAAGCCCTTGAGGCCTGATGGTTTGCACTGACTCCTGCACTTGACCGACCTGGATTCAGGCAATGATTGACAAGACATGCATGAGGATTGCTCATATGCAGCACATGCCCACGGGAGATTCCGGGTTGGCCGTGTCTCACATGTGGCCGGAACTTTTGGTGGCCCTGGGCCGATTTCCAGATTTTCCTCTCTCGAGTCTGCTCAGAGTGCCAAGGAACATGCCCAAAACTTGGCTCCAAATGTTTGTCTTCACTCAGGCACACCCGACTCCCGGCAAGCGTCCCAAGGGCCAGGCATAGAAGAGATCCCCGTCAGGGTGAGGTTTGGCAGCTGGTCGAGTCGATAGGTCGAGAGATAAGTTGAGACTTGAGTGCTCAGATTGGCATGAAACCCCTAAAAGGCCAGACGTTTTCCTGTTGGAAAGGTCGCTTGTTTCCTGTCAATTTGAAGGGGAGTGAGCCATCCCTCATTTTGGTGCAGCGGACCTTTGCTGAATGCAGCACTGATTCCATTGACTTTATTCAAGGTCTTGATTCCCGCTTGAACGGACGGGGAGGTGAAACTAAGGCGGCATGAAAGCTATGAGACGACCCGATGTCAAAAAGGCTAAACGCAAAGCAGTTGGAAGTGTTGCATGGTCCCGTACATAAGTCTTGAACACATTGTGACAAGGAATTCGACAAACTCACGCCTCAACCTCGACTAGAGAGGCTGCCCCCTTCTCCACAAATGGTTTCCTTTGAGCCAAAGGAAGTTCCTAGTCTTGGCACATTCCCAAGTGGGAGGGGGATCCCCAAATTCCATGTGTCTAGTCTTCCGCAAGAAGGACGCATGGAACCATACATGGAATTCTAGGGGTACACCCCTCTCCCAATTCCAATCATAAGTGGGTGGATTGACATCGAACCAATACATCCGACCCAGTTGCCCAATGACCCTGGTAGGGAAAAGAATCGGAACCATGTCAATGTCTTTTGGTTGGTAGATCCCCATTTGGGGTCCAGTAGATTCCATTTTGGGCAAGAATCGGATACCCCACGTTGGTTAGTAGATCCCAACTTGTTTGGTTGGTTGGTAGATGGGGGTTGATCAATATCATGGCCCCAGAATGACCATGGGCAACTTTTCCCATGTGGTGAAAGTCGAATCTGTTTCTTGTGGCTTCCCTGATGGTCATCCCATGTAAAGGACCGTTTGATCAACCCCCTCACCCACCAAACAAACTGGATCTTGAAAAACCGGCCGCTGGCGCCGCTGGCGCCGCTGGCGCCTTCATCCTTCACTGCATCCTTCCACTTGCCCAGGGCGTGCTCTGCGCGGGTCACCTGACGCGCGCCATGTGGGTTTTGGCTGCCTGCGATGCATGCCAACTTGAGTGTACGTGTATGTACATAAAGATGTGTATATATATATATATATATATATGTGTACTCATTTTTGAATTAGTCATCTATCTGTGTGTCTGTCTGTCTATCTACCTATCTATCTATCTATCTGTCTGTCTGTCTGTCTATCTATCTATCTATCTAAAAGCAATGTATACATATATATATATATGTATGCATATATATGTATATAGCTATCTATCTATCTGTATGGCTGTCTATCTATATATCTATCTCTATATATGTATCTCTGTATGTGTGTATGTGTGTATGTATGTGTGTGTGTATGTCTGTATGTATGTATGTATGTATGCATGTATGTATGTATGTTTGTATGTATGTATGTATGTACGTAGATAGGTAGGTAGGTAGGTAGGTATATGAATGTATGAGTGTATGTATGTATGTAAATATGTATGTAAGTATGTAAGTATGTATGTAAGTATGTAAGTATGTAAGTATGTATGTAAGTATGTAAGTATGTAAGAATGTAAGGTATGCATGGCATCTATGTATGTATGCATGTATGTATGGAATGTAATGTAATGCAATGTAATGTAATGTAATGTAAATGTAATGTAAATGTAATGTAGATGTAATGTAAATGGAATGTACATGCAATGTAAATGTAATGTAAATGTAATGTACTGTATGTATGTATATCTGCCTGTATGTATGTATGTATGTATGTATGCATGTATGTATGTATACATACATGCATGCATGTATGTATGTATGTATGTATGTATGTATGTATGTATGTATGTATGTATGTATGTGTGTATGTGTGTCTGTATGTATGTATGTATGTACGTACGTACGTACGTATGTATGTATGTATGTATGCATGTATGTATGTATGTATGTTTGTATGTATGTATGTATGTAGATAGGTAGGTAGGTAGGTAGGTATATGAATGTATGAGTGTATGTATGTATTTATGTATGTGTGCACGTATCTGCTTATGCATGTATTTATCTACTTATGCATGTATGTATGTGTGCATGTATCTACTTATAGATGTATGTATTTAGTTTTTATTTCTTGATGCTGGTATGTATTGATCTACTTACTTAGTTTACCTATTGATGTGTGTGTGTGTATGTTCTACCTATTTATTCATTAATTCATTTATCTATGCACTTCTATGTACATTATCAAGAAAAAGCAAGGGACTGGCTTCGGGAAAGCTGGGGATGTCGGCCCCTCTTCTTGCTTTCTGATAGCTAACCATGGACCATGTGTGTTTCATTCAAATGGATGCAGCAGGATAGACACAGCGACCAGCCATCGCAAATCTTTGGCCCAAACAAGGCTTAAGATTCTCAGACCAGCACCTTCAATCGTTTCATCCCATGTTGGCTTCCTTTGGGAACATCGGAATTCAGACCGCTCTCTCAACTTCCCCACCTGCACCACCTGGAAGGGAGGCTTCAGGTCCCGCCAGAAGCGGAACCGCGCCGCCCTCGGAAAAAATGGACAAAATGGAAGCCAGGAAGAAGCCAGCAAACGAACAAACAGATGAACTAAATTGAACTCAGCTACATAAACTGCCCAAACTAAACTCACTAAACTAAGCTTGACTCACTGACTCACTGACTGACTGGCTAACTCACTGACTCACTGACTCACTGACTCACTGACTCAATCACTCACTCACTCACTCGCTCGCTCACTCGCTCACTCACTCACTCACTCACTGATTGACTGATTGACTGATTGACTGATTGACTGCTTGACTGATTGACTGATTGACTGAGTGATTGATTGACTGACTACGCAACGAATTCTGGGGGCAGAAGGGTTCCCAAAATTCGGAACCTGTCCTTTTCTGGATCACCGTTGAGCCTTGAACCCATGTACAAAGGGATGAAGCAGCCCCCAAAAGGAGCGGAGGGGGTCGGTTGAGAATTGCGTCCTTTGGCGCTTCGCGAATTCAAGCCCCACATTGGCCACATGGCAGCTTTTGACTGATGGGACTCTGGCAATGCTAGGTTACCTGGCGCTACCTGGCTTACCCCTCTGCTTCCCTATCAAAGACCGTGTCCCACCAATTTCAAGGCAACACTGAAAATTTGTGTACAGCGAGAGAGAAAGAGAGAGAGAGTCAATCTACACAACTTTAGTTCTGTTACTTGTTCTGTATTCATACTGTACATCTATCTAGATCCTCCAGTAGAGAGGATAGAGTGAGTAAGGGTACCCTTTTTGCTGTAGTTTATTTTAGTAGGGGAACCCTCCCCCAAAAAGGGGTACAAGGGCACCACTGGGGGACCTAGCCATGTATATATCCAAAGGTTGCGGTTACAGCGCACCAAAGTGCATGTTCAATTCACTCAGAGCGGCCGACATGATGAAAACCGTGAGCTTCACATAACGTGGTGTGGCCTGAAAAATATGTATGAGAGCATCAGTTTATAATACGAGTTCTCCGCGTATTCACTCAAGCTACAGAGCAAATGCGACAGGAAAGGCACTTTAAACATGCTTGCCACATGATGGAAAAGCCCCCGCTCACGTGCACTAGCTCAGCACTACCACACCCCTGCCAAAAGCGCTGACCACCTGCCACGATGAGAACCCGCGCTCAAGCGCATTTGCTCAGCAAGCCTGCCAACTGATGAGAACACACGCCAAAGTGGATGCGCTCAGCACAACGCAAACGCCTATCCAAAACGACGCTCAACCGCACTGGCTTAGCTGCGCGCACGCCTACCCAAAAGAAACGCTCAAGCGCACTGGCTCAGCGCTGCGCGTATGCCTACCACAAAACGACGCTCCAGCGCATTGGCTCAGCGCTGCGCACATGCCTACCGAAAAGAAGCAAGCAAGGCTCAGCACTGCACGCCTGCCTGCCAAACAACTGGCTCAGCACTTGGCGCATGCCTAGCAAAAAATGATGACAGCCTGCCCAAAAAAACTCGAGGGCACCGGCGCGCGCGCATGCCTGCCAAACAGAGCCTCAGCCCACGACACCCAGCTTTTAAGAGGGCTTCGGGCCCCCTTTACACCGCACCATGAGGGGTGCGTGGACAGCTCACCCAATCCCTGCACAGGCCCGGAATCGCTCGGTCGCTTCCTTTGCCTCGAGTTTTTGACAACTTTTGCTCCCATTTCCCCAACATGCGGTTGTTTTCTCACCGGTCCCCCACGTCCCGGCACACTCAAAAGTTAATCCCCCTTGTCATCTGGGGACCTCCGGCTATTTTCCTTTTGCTGTCCCTTGAAAACCTAGGGAGGGGTTTCTGTAAAAACACACCACCCAGCTTTGATGTCCGATTCTCTCTGGGCTGCCACGCCCCGAGCGGAGGGCCACCGGCACGTTCTGCGGGGCTGATTTTGGGTTCGGAAGGGGGGAGGCACGTGACCCCGAGAGAGGCGAAAGCCTGGGGCTTCCACTGAGTCGAAATTCCGATGGTTTGAAGGGCACCGCCCGAACAAAACTTGATTCACCACAAATGTTCACTTGGATTGAGTTCGAAGCGCCCAACAACATCCAACAACTGTTCACTGTTGGCAGCAACAAAGGCGCGAATTTCTTCACGTAAGCCATGGAGCAACAAACTTTGTGTGGGCCAGCTGGAGGGCTCAAGTCAAATGCAACCTGACAACCTGACATCGAAAACAAGGTCCATGACGTAGCGGCTTGTGCACAGTTTGAGGATTGATGCCTGACGCTGACTGTCCCTCGTATTCTCCCTGAGGCGAATCAACCAACAGCCAGGCAGCCTGCGGGAGGGTTGGGGAAGAGTCCCTTACTGCTTTTCGGCTGCGCAAAGGGAACAATGGAACCATTCATCTAGGACTAGATTCTGAAAGAAACGGGCCCCGAAGAAACCAGCCTTTCGTAACCATATAAGTCCCGATTTATTATCACTTTGGGATGAACCCCTCAATTTGGAGCTCAAAATTCCTAAACTCAGGTCCAAAGGAGTGCCAAATCGAGTTGCGCCACAAGTTCTCCACTCGAAAGACGTGGCCTGGCTGGGACCTGAAAGCAAAAACGGCCTACTAATTGTTCGACCAAAACCTCGGATATCCGACGTTTGATCATTGCTTTGAGCGGAGAGCGTGAAGCCAAACTCTTTCGCGCCTGTGGGTCCAGGAACTCTCCGACCTGTCGATCCCGCAAACGCTCGAAGTGATTCGGACGATTCGGGGAAACAGAGAAATCCAAAATGGACTGGGCAAACGCCCCCTAAGGACTCAAAAGGCAAACCGAACTGGGCAAATCACTGATCTTGCTCCCTGGACGTGTTTTGCTAGGGCTAGGCATTCTCCTGAGATCAAAGGGGAATATATCCAAACCGGCCTTCCGGTCTTCCCAACCACTAAAATTATGCTTTCAGGAACAAACTTCAAGACTTCATTCTAAGCTTTCAGAAGCCACCAGAGCCGCACCCGTTCCCAGTCATACCAATGGTATCCGTTTTGTCTTGGCAGCCCTGGGCTGTTGCACCAAAACCAATAGCAATAAACCCGCTCGTTGGTGCGAAATCGAACCTCTGTGATGCCTCCTCAAGAAAAAAAAGAACCTGCAGCAGAGGGCTCATCTTACCACGTTGAACAGATTTGTAGCCTTCACAATGGCTGCTGCAGTGATGTCTGATGTTCTGCTTGAAATGTGTCCTCCAAAAGAAGTATATGAGAACAACACCTGAAAAAAACACAGCACTGGACCGAAAAAATGGAATGTGGCATTTGACCCAACATGGGAAAAAAACGCATGTCCCCCCCCCGTTCCTGTGCTTCCTGCTGTGTTTGCTGGGACCAACTCACCATGGGCCTCCTGTGTTCAGATGCGCGCCGGATGCAGCATCAGCGCCTTCTCCCAGCAGCCGCTAAAACTGAAACAAACACACCAAGTGAGCTTCGGTGTATGTATCATTAAATATGAACTTCGGACTACTCTCTAGGATAAGTCATCAGGGCGAGTCCAGAGAGCCCAACATGGACCATGCCCCTGGTAAGTCCAGGGGCCTTCAAATAAAATAGAGGCAGGCCTTCGACGGGGTAGGGGGGCCAGTTGTGTGCCAGCACTCACATTGCCTCCTTGCGCTGAGGGTGGTCCTCCTTGGAGCGGCAAGAGCAGCAATGCACATCAGCCCAGGGAAGAACGGTGTATTTAGCCGCCCAAATACATCAAATGAGTGGCAACATCCTCACAGCTTTTGACAACCCACAGCCCCTCGCAAAGCAATCTCGCACTGCCTCAATCCATGTCCCATGGCAGGTTAGCGGGGAAACGCACAACCATCCCCCCCACCCCAGCTCACCTTACGGCTGTTTGCAGCGGTCGTCCTTTGTGAGGGTGGAACAGGTCAGGTAGTTGGAATTCCCGCACTGCGGGACCGACGCTCCATTTCACTTTCCAGCGATCTGTGTTGGCGTTGAAGCATCATGGCCAACCGCTAACTATACCTTTCATACAAACCTATCACTGGGCAATGCCCTGCGAAATAAGCTTTACTCGAACAACCCGTGACATCCAAAGACTGGTCTGGAGAATAGAGCATGGGACAGAGTCTCACCTTCAGCAAACAGCCATCCCTCTACAGCTTTCAACCTCACATGTCCGTTTCCCAGCGTTTGGCACACATAAATGGCTTGTCAGCAATAAGAAACATTACTTTTGACATGCCGACCTCGGGGCCTTCATTCTCGCAAACTGGGGGATACATTTTCCGCTGCCCATTGCAAACAGCCCCGCCAAAAAAGGCATCCGCCCAACCTCGACGACAGTCGTAGGGCTCCGGCATCTCGCTGGATGTGGTAGTAAGTCCAGGAGATGCAGTGCTCCAGCCTGAAGGTTGAAAGAAAACATCTCGTATAGGCAAGGGAAGAAATGAGGATTTCTCTCCAAGGAAAAACTGGGAAAGCCTTCGAAGCAGCTGTCACCGAAACGACCAGAAACCCCGCTCTGTCAGATTCGGACTTGTCGCGGTTTGCGACTCGGAGCCCTTGGTATCTGATGGAACCTCTTGGCCCACAAAAAAAAGCTCTGATCTGTTCCATAGTCCACCCTAAACCACAACATATTCTTGGAGGAGACTCCAGTCTTCTTGGACAACCAGTATGGGCCCGTGGTCGAAGTACATCAGCCTTTCGCTGACGGAACATCTTAGGGGCACGTGGAAAAGAAGCTTGAAGCCACTTGGGAGTCGCAAACCTGCTGACCCTAGGTGGCACTGGCAAATGCTTTGAACCAAAATGAAGCCGATGGAATCCATTGATGTTCTAGAAAGGACACCTCTGACACACTCCAAGTGCCGCGCATGCCCTTGACGCGCATCACATTGTCCTTGCTCCAGTTCGGGACCTCTGCGCAAGCGACCCTTGGAGCAGTGGCCCTTTTGCTGCCTCTTTTGGTGCCAGTTTGTCGTACCTCGAGCAGATCAACAAGATAAGCCAACAAGGCCCACCCGGCCCTGGGCATGTGCTTGAAAATGTGTGCGCGTGTGTGCAGTATCCTTCCGTACCTGTTGACAAGGCTTTCTCAAATGGATCCACCAAAAATGTGGTTTCACGGCAGGAGCCACAATGTTTTCAACTTTCTCCACTCCTCTCCCCGCCCATTCTAGGCCGCTGACCAGGCCGCTGATGAAGTCCCCCCTTGGGCGCTAAGGCAGTCTCAAAAGTCAAAGGAACCACCGAGCAAGGCCAATTTGTTGGATTTGTTCCTCGGGTGGCAAGGAATGCGATGGATGTCTAGTGGGCCTACAGCGTGTTGAGGATTGTCGTATTGTGGTGTAGGGGCGGGTTTGGCGCTGGATCTAGGCTACTTCAGGGTTTGTCTTAGGTATCGGTTGAGGGTTGGCTTAGGTTGGAGTAAGGATTGGGCAAAAGCGTTGCTTTGGGGATTGGTTTGCGGCGGGGTTCGGGTTGGCTGATGGCTCGCTTGTGGCTTGCGTTGGCTGATTGAAAGGCATGTTCAGGGTTGGCTCAGCATTGATGGAGGATTGGTTGGGGTTGTGTTTTGGCTGCGTTGGTTAGGGTCGAGGGTAGGAGTCGGGCTAGAGGTATTGGGTTCGCCATGGCGTCCCCAAGGTGGGGCTAGCGTTGTTCTGGTCGGCTTAGCGGGTTTGGCATTCGGTTGCTTTGGGGTGACTTGTCGGTGGGTGACAAGGGATGGCTCAAGGAGGAAATGTATTCGACAGCCTCCGAATGCCCGCCCGCCCCCCGGCTCACGGAACAGGGCCCCAGTTCGTGACTTTCATAACCCCTATTACTAAAGCCAAAATCAAGGACGCCCGCTCGAAGGCCATTGTGAAGCTGTCACCTAAGCTTACACCTAAGCAGCGTGGATGCCCTTTTCACCTGTTTGACGCTTGAAAGCCGCTTCATGTGTGCAGGTGTGCTATGTGTGCGTGTGGGTGTGTGTGTGTGTGTCTTCTTTGCTCGGAAGGGAAGACGGGAAGCCAGAGCAACAACAAGCTTTTGGGAAACTCCACATCTGTTGATAGCTTACAGGAACCGACACCAAAATGCCCACGCCGAGCCGCTTGTCGATAGCATCACCTTCGACATCCCGACATTCCTCAGCCAACCCGTTGGTGCACGAAACCCATGGAAATCATGCGCCGCGGCACGGGCTGTCTTAAACTAGGGTCTTAAATTAGGGGCCCCCAAAGTGGTGGTCTCCTTGAAAAGAACATCCCAAAAAGGATGGTCAAAACAACACACCCTTATGTGCCATCTACCATACAGAAAAATTGAACCTTCCTATCACAGCAATTGCCAGAACCCATTTGGGCATGATTTTGGATTGACCTTTGGCGGGGAACCATGTCAACGAGCCATGTTTTAACATGTGTTCCTCACTGAAATTCATTGGCCAGTTTCCACTTGTGCTTCTCTCAGAGCCCGCTGGCAGCTCGAGTTCATGACGAGATCCACGCCGGCGACTCGACAAACCGATATGTGGATGCGTCGTCAGATGCTGGCACCTGTTGGATGTTGAAACGAAACACCGACCCTCAGGCGTCCCCAATGTTTGGACACACCCATATGGGTCATGGCAAAAACGCATGGCGACCCTCTTTTCGGGGGTCCCTTGAAAGGCCGCCCAACATGTTCAGATCCCCAAAAACACGCTTCGGACACTTGTCCATAGCACAGGACGGTATGAAATGAGCCCTGTCCATCAGTTGGGCCAAAACAAGTCCAAACTGTTCGGGTGTGTCCTTGTTTAGGGGACCCCCCACCCCCCCCAAATGAGTGGTTTTCCTCGCGGCTTCCCTTTTAGAGGGTCCCAAAACGGGAACCAGCTCTATAAAAAAAGCCCGACCCATTGCCTACCCGAAGGCCAGGAAACGAACTCGGTGCTTCCTCCCCGCCCGCTGTTCGAGGCGATGCCAGGGGGCGTCCCAGTCCCGGTAGGTCGACGCCAGCGGCTTCCAGGCTTTGTCCACGGCCAAGGGAGCCTCTCGGGCCATTCCACGTGGACGGATCGCAGATGCTTTGAATCAGCTTCCCTCGAATTGGTGGTTTGGAGCCTGGTGCTTCAGATTGGTTGTTTGGAGCCCGGTGGTTTGGTGGAGATGGTTCCCAATCTCTACAAGAACCAGGTTCAAATCCCCACACCAATCCGAAACTCCAACTAAGGGTTACCTGAAGATGGGTGAGGCCCCTCGCTTTGGAGGGCACCCCGCCAAGGGAAACCACCCGGTCTGGGGGTTCCTCTCATTTTAAGACCCGCATGTGCAAACAAGGAATGTGAAATTGCAAGGACAGGGAACATCATTCTTGACAAGTCCACACTCATACTAGGAAGGCCATACCAGTTTGTCGTTTTGGACGGCGTGCAGGCTACGTTATGGTCATGCTCAGTCATTGTCAAGATCTGCATCAACAATCTGTTAGAACACCATGGAAGATGCAAAAACACAAGCAGGGGATGGAAGCCTTTCTAGGCGGGGGGTCCAACAAACCTCGGCACTTGCCACGGAAAAAGTGTCCTCAGATTCACAAGGCCACACCGCGCTTGATGGGATGCCCAGGACTATCCCCTCAGTCTGGGGAAAACCCAAAATGGAACCCTGGTAAATGCAACTCAAGACTAAAACCTGCGGTTTTCCGGCGGCTTTCTTTTGCCCCCATATCACCCCAAAATCACCAGAAAGCTTGGCCCATGTCCCCGGGGTCCGACCAAGTCCAAGAGCAACGCCGCATCCTCTTCCGGGCGCCCCCGCGGGCTTGGTGTACCTCAGCTTGCCGCGACCCCCAAACATCTGCCGGCTGTAAATATATATATATATATATATATATATATATATATGCGCCATCTACATTCTCGTGAAGGCGCGAGCTGGGGGTTGGAATCCGAAAACCATCAAAGGACTTCCGGGTGGCTCAATGAAGCATCCTGACGAAAGTCGCACTCAATGCACGAAGCAAAATGCCTCGCCGCGGTGATGCCTACAGAAGCTGAGTGCTTGCACACACTGTGTCTAATACAGGAGGGGGCCTTGGGCGGGAAGGATGAAAACTGGCCCTCTCTTTACCAGGGATTCCACTGCTGATAAGAACTGAAGCGAAACCAAAAGAAACCAATTTTCAGACAAGCTGGCCCAAAATGGACACCTACGCGTCGAGTGTCCTTTGGAAAGTGTGCCTTGCCTTCACCCAATGGTCACTTGTTCATGGTAGTCATTGGTCAATGTTTGCCGATGCTCTTAGGTCTGGATAGCACCGTGTCAACAAATACCAACTCGGATTGCAAGGAAGGCATCTCACTGAGGGCCAGTCATGGTGCTTCCTAAGGTGCGAGACCCCGGCACACTGAAGCCACCCTAAATCTAGGTGACAAAGACGTTCCCCAAGCACAAGGCACAGGGTATCAAAAACGTGGGGCTCCTTTTTGGTGCCCAGGTTCTACACTGCAGCAGCTGCAAAAAAAATGTTGTTTGTTTTACTGGTTGGCGCACCAGGTGGGCGTTGTGACAGTGGTGGGGGTCGCGTGCAGCAGCGGAGCGCTCTGGATGCGACCTCGAAATCGTGCGGGGAGCGCCCATAGGCCCATAGGGCCGTGGGTCAAATAGAACCCAGGACTAAAAACCTGCGGTCCCCTGGTGGTTTAATTTTGACCCATACCCATAGGGCTCAAGCATCTGAAAGGGCACCCACAGGCTTTGGAAGCCTCGGAATGCTGCCAGCAATTCGACAAGACTTCCGACCTAAGTCAGATTGAACTTGCCAAGTTCACCTCACGTACAAGGCTTGAAGGCAGGCTCTGCAGGCTTCACCAAAAGGTGATCCTCAAAGAGGCTTTGCGACGGGCCTGCTACCCCACAGGCAGAAACAGAGGCCTGAAGTAGCAGAAACCTGTGGTGGAGAATGTCAATGATCGACTCCTGCGAACCTAGAAGCTTTCGCCTGAGGAGCATTTGGAGCTGGAGGTTTTCGTGAACAATTTCTACCTGGGACGCTTCACTGCCAGCCTGTGAAGGATGTAAGCCACAATGTGCTTCAACAAGCACGGAGACACCAACAAAGAGAGGCAAATGCGAGCCTGCCATTGTCTACACCATAATCTTCTTGATAAGGTTGACTTGGTTGCTGATTCCCTCAAGCTTAATTACCAAAACGGCACGGCCGTTGCGCTTGCTAAGCAAACCAACCTCGGTCAGGGTGAAGAAAAAGCATGGCACCCTTGCCAGACTTGACTCCAAAGTCGGTCGCGTGGAAAGGTCAGGAAGGAACCTTACTGATCAAACCGGGGGCTCTGCTCCACTTCTGAGAGCCTTAGACGGGGGATATTGGCACAGCTTTGCCTCACCGGACTAATCGCTTCCCTTGTCCCTCTTGCAAACATTGGACGTCAACCCCCGCAAAGGCCCGGCAATCTGCGCTCTGGTCTACAGTCGGGTGTCCTTGAATTCCCCGGCAGTTGTAAAAACAAAAATGGTTCTTGGGGTGCCTGAGCTCTCCAAAAATATACGGCGCACACGTTTTCCAAGCTCGGAAAGGCATCCAAACCAGCTACACCCCCGGGACTTCGCCAAAACGGAAATGCCTTCCATGCCTCATGTGAGCTCCCGGTCACTCCTTACATCTCTTTCTCTTAGGTCACTGACAGGAACTCACTTGGAAGTGGAATGGGACCCCGCACTGGGCGAAATGGAGCGGGGGGGGCTCTCGCTCCCCGATTTCCGACTGAGCGAAGGGCCCATGGTGCGGTTGGTCATGAAGCTCCCCGTCGAGCGCATGGTCTGGGAGGGAGCGATATCCGATAGTTCGCAAGAGAAACTGAGAACCCTTTGCCAAGGTTTGGAAAAGAGCATGAATCAATGACACCAATCAATCCAGTGCCCAGTTGCACATTCCAACCTGCAAACTCCAAGATGAAGTCTTGTGGCAAGGCTCGTTCGCAGCGCTTGACTTGACACTGGTTGGAGTCAGCAAAAATATTCACCATGAATTCCTTCGGATCCACTGAATCGGATCTAGCCACAATCAACAGAAGTGCTCCTCCGGCGGAGTATCCCCAGCATTGGATCCAGACTTCCTTCCCCGGAACCCGTGAGAACCGGCCCTAAGCCCATAGTTCCCCTCCCCCCCGGCAGTCGCTCATTCGTTCGCGTGCTGGGCACAAGGGCTTGGGAGCTCGGGGACAAGTCCTGGGCGGCGCGCGGCGCAACCACGCGATGGTCCGATTGATCCGAACTTGTCAAGGGCCTGGGCCAGGTTGCGGCTACAAATTGGGGCAACTTTTCCTAAAATAAAACCAACTCTATCCAACTACATCAACGATTGTAGGGGTGTGTCTTGGTTGAGGAGAGGTTTAAAGAAAACATAGACCACAACCCATTTTGGGGTAATCTCCCGTTGAGAGACACCCCCATATTATGCGATGCGCATGGGATCGCATGGGGCTTCTGTCCGGGGGCCCCTACGGGGAGGGAACTGATACCATGCCTTTTTTGTGCCGGAGGGGGGAGGAATTCTGGGGCCCTAAATCCGAGCTCCCAGTCACCACTTTAAACAATCAATTAACTTTTAGCTTTAGACTTCAAGCGTGGACGATGATGATGATGATGACGATGATGATGATGATCTTCCAACCTGGTCACTTCCATCCTAGGGCTTTCTATGGACGACCCAACGTCTGCAAAATCCATCAGAAGGCGTGCTTCCCTTTACCGCCGTTTTCAGACAAGCCGAGGTGCATCGAAGAAGCGGCCACGGCCTGGCTTCGAGGGGTCAGAGAGCTGTTTGTTGTGTGGTCCTGAAAGAAGCCCGGACTGAGACATGGATACCTCAAAATGGAAAAGCCAAATCAGAAAGGGGCGCGGGTTCCTTGAAATTCCGCGTCAAAAACCACAGGCCACCATCAACCACCATGGGGGTTTGAACACAGGAGGCTCGCTTCGGGAACTATGAGAACCTAAGCAGCATCCACAGCGCACGCCTGAAACGAGAAAGGTGAGTAATCACTGAATGTAATCACCGACCGGGAAACAAAGGGACTCCGGATCTCCGGTTTGCCTTTTGACTACCCTTCTTTGGGAAAAGGGACTCCTCAAACGAAAAGAAACCTTAGCAGAAATTCCCGATTGTGTGCCTCAAAAAGAGGGCGTCAATAAGGCTGCACCCAATATGCATTCGTCGCCAGAAGCTTTGCCCACAGCAATGTCTAGAAACACAATCAAGGGCTTTGTGACAAAACCAAAGCAGGAATGCAGAATACATCTTGAGAGCTGCATCTGTATCTTGGATTACGCCGGAGAACCGTGCTCATCAGGGGCTCCTGTTCCAGTGGTGAGTCCATTCACTTTGGAGGATTCCTCTATGGACGCTCCGGTCTTTCAGTTGACACTCCTCCAGGTTGCTTGGCACTTGGTGGCTGTCCAGTTATAAACGCGTGGAAAGTGAAGTGGACTGGTCAATCAGCGGTGCTACGAAGTACCATAAGTGCCATCACAGAAGGCCAACGGCCAAAAACATGCAAGAGACAATCAAAGGGAGGGATTCAAGCCAAGTACAATTTGCCAATGCACGTGACATGAGTGTTTGTATTTTCTGGGGTGCCAACTTTAATGGTTGGTGTCCTTTTGGATTCCTCTTTGAAGACCAAAGAGGAACCTAATTTTAGGACATGCCCAATCGGCTGCAGTTGATGGCACTTGCAAAAGACGACGTTGAAAATGAAGGGCTGAACACATGTACGTACATTTGACATCCAATCATAACCAATCGGCCCCTTGCTGTTTCTCTGGGCTACACGTGCGAAGAACGCCAAGACCTGAAGGCTCTCTCTCTCTCTCAGAATCGGCTCGCCGAGGGTGGAAGTGTTCTCGGGATTTGCAAGGGAAATCATGCTTCAAGCTTGAAAAACAGCTGCCCCACGATGATCCTGACAAAAACTAGTGAGGACGCAAGAAAACAATGGCCGGCTCTTGCCAGAGCGTTAAAGCCAAACCCAAAAAAAAACGCGGTGCCAGGACAACCCCCCCCCCCCTGCAGCTGAGATCAAGCCAAGTGACTGGAGCGAGCTGGGCTGAGCTCGCCCGGATACATGGTCTGCGCCGCCTCTGCAGCTTCAGATTTCGTGAGGCCCTCTCTGTCCCCCAACTTTTGTTGGCCATAAGCAAAGTTCGTGTAGTTGTAGGCATTGGCTTGCCTTCCTTGCCGTGATGCCCTAGTGCCATTCCGGTCCCACTGCATCCCTCCCCGATGCAAGGGTCATGTGCCTCAGGGCTGTGGCATCCTTAAACCTGGGGACCCCCCCTTTAGACGTCCAAAGGCAAAGCAGAAGGACCCGAAGCTTTTCTGCGGGTCCAAATCTTTGGCAAAACCCTTGCTGACAAGCTGAGACCCGCCTGCATCATGGCCAGCACGGCGCCAAGGCCCAGGCAAGGAGTCTCGGAGTCTGATTTACGCTGTTTTCTTCTGCTCTCGCATGGCTCGCACCGGAAACCTCCGGAGATGCAAAGATTGCATGGGATCCAGCTGCCAAATCTGAGTCAGCCCCCCTTGAGGGGGCTGGATCTGAATGGCGGCGAAAGGCAGGCAAGGAGAGTCGGTGTCCAAGACAAGTCATTTTCAAATATTTCGACAATTTGAACGCGGCCAGCCACATGGTTCAATGTGGTTTGCCTTTGGACACCATTCCGACGGGAAAACAAATGTGTTGAGCTCTAAGAAAAAGTTTGCCTCCGACATGGGGATTGCGCGTTGAAGACTTCTTGGCTTTTGGGATGTCCAAGGCGGCACGAAATGACAAGAGACTTGACCCTTCAACCTTGGGCGATCCATGCCAGAGGCCGGGTTGGCTCTCCCATCACCATGAAACGTGCACACCGCAAGATGCAGTATCGAACCAACATGTATATATATATATATATTTATATATATGCGCAGATATGCATATCTACTCTCATATGTGTATGTATATATATATATATATATGTGTAAGCATGTATTCCAAGATGCAACATCAATGACTCTTGCGACTCTGCACCCCAGCACCCCACTTGAGCTCGGCGCTAGGCCATCCGTTTGCCCTTGTCGGCGAAGGTGAGCCGCTTGCGCCGCTTGAAGGCCGACCCATGTGTTCCAAATGCGTTCCATGCTACACACGTGGTCCTTTGGTGCAAGCGGGGAGCCGTGCCGGGAATCGTGTCATTATTCCCTTTCCGAGAGTACCATGACAAGCATGACCCTGGCGTCATGCCGTGGTCGTAAATCCTTGAGTGGCCCATGATCTTCAGTTTTTGCCCGCCGAGAAGGGGGTGGGGGGTCAAGATAATTCCCGGGGTCGGGAAAGGGCAAACTTGGGGCGTAACAAGTCAGGATCCATGAAGAACTCTATCAAGGCATTGCAAATGGAGGGCTCCGCTGGTTGGCGAAACCAAATGCCTCCAGTTCAGAGATCGCCCCATGCAAATGCCCAAAGCTCCCTTTGGCTTTCTTGGCTGAGCACCGCCTTGCAGTGCAATTGCATACAAGACCTGTGTTTGTTCATTTGGACGGGCGTGGGTCTGGACACGTTTTCCTAAATCGCAGGGAAACTGCCCGGCATGTGGTGTGACCTTCACTTCAAGAAGGATCTCCCCAAAGCCCATTCCCCTGAACTGTCTGGTGAGTGGGGAAACGATCAAGGGAAAAACGAAAAAAGGAAGAAAAGAAAAAAAGAGAAAAGACTAAAGGTCGCAAAGACCAAGTTGTGGGCCTTATGCGTCCGATGAGCAGAGACCCTGACTTCGCGCCCGAAGCTGTCCTCCAAGTATCCCACCAGCTCCTGCGATAGCGAGGTCTTATGCTAGATCTGACTGAGAGAGGTCTTGTTTCGAACCCTTTTGGGTGGGTGGCTGAAGGAAAGCAAAGGCAAGCCAATCCTTTTGAGTCCTAGGCGAAGAAAACGAAGCAGGCTGAGGTAAGATTCAAGGCGCAAGCACATGGAGATGGCAGTGGCATTGACCCGCTCGAGTGGGCCCACCACCTCCTCTGTACAAAGCCAATCGGACATGTTGATTCTTTCTTTTAAAGCCATCGTTGCTTTCAAACTCCAGCCTGGATGTTTCGCGGTCTGACAAAACATGATCCCCGGGTTCAGAATTTGGAGCCAGCTCTCAGGTTGCGCCTCTGCACCGTCCTCCTCATCCTCTTCATCCTCTTCGTCCTGGCAATCTGAAAGCCATGGATCAGTCGAGGCTGCCAAGTGCCCTTGAAAAAATGACCCTCGACCGTTGACGCCAGCGATGTGGAGGGGGCGCTACTTTTGACACGGGGTACTATGTCCATGAGAGGTTGACTTGTGTCTTTTGATCTATCTCTCTCTCTCTCTCTCGCACTGTCTCTGTCTTCCTCTCTTGTCTGTGCTATTTTGTTATAGTCTCTCGTTCTCTCTCTAGAGCTGTGCCTACGCGTTACACAGTGCACCGCTACCTAAGATTGCGTGTTTTGGATGGTAGTGTTTATGCCTCTGTATGTGCAAGCGTGCAGCGTGCAACTTCTGTCTCTCGTTCTTTCGCATGGCACGGGTGCGTTGTGAAGTGCCTGCGCCACTGAAACGCAACAATATACGCCATAGCTGCAATCCCCAAATGGCATGGGAGGCCAAGCTCGCGCAACGACACTTCTGTCAAACCCAGATGCTGTTGCACGGGTACAATCGTGCCAGCCTCATGGCTCTCTAAAATCAAAATCAACTCACATCCTCTCACCAAGCGAACTAAGGGAAGGTATGTCAATATATATATATATATACATATATACAGACCCACGCATAGACTTAGATTGCCTAAGATGTACAGTTTCTGTACACATCTAGAAAACACACTCACATTTAGACTTTCGAGGGAGGCTGCTAATCTTCTGTTCGGGTTGGGAGTACACGCAAAACTTCCCTTTGCTGAAAAAAAGAGAAGCAACAGCGATTCACGGAGGGGACCAAAAGGACTTTCGGAAACATCACTACTGCAGGTACGTCGGTTGGCGTCCCAACCGATATCCTCACCACACATTGCCAACTTCGTTGGCGGAGAAGCAATGCGGGTGTCTCCACCCCCTGCATGAACCCCTGCAGGAAAATTGTTGGCGTCAGCGTGGTTCTCAGACACACTGCCCCCGTAGGGGCAAAAGAGCAAAACACTTTCCCTTTTGCGGAAGAAGTCAGTAAGCAGACTACGCCACCCCAAAAAATCTGACTTGGCGCGGAGAACGTGAATTATCACGTTCACTCACTGGCCTCTCAGACGGCGGGGTCCGCGGATCCTGTTGCCTTCTCCACCGCGCCGTGGGATGGGGTAGCTGCCTTGGAGAGAAAAATGAAAAGAGGGCCGACAATGACCTGCCAGTCGGCTCGTGCGAAATCCTAGGTGATGTCATCAATGCGGAACTCTCCAAGTCGGCGAGGCTGCCCGATTGACCGGAGGATGCGGTGCTTGATGATGATCCAGCGCAAACGACTCCGCTTTGCACTTGTTGATAACCATCACATTTCCAATCCGGAATGATCCATTGTGGACGGCGTTCATCCCAGTATTGCCAATGTTGATGACTGGAACTTTTAATGTCATCACTGCTAGCCCCCTCCATCGCGCCTAACACGAAAAGTGTTGTGAGGCAGGGTGGGAACTGCCTGCGAATCGTCCCAGTGAACAGGAGGAAGTGGGTAAAATATTTTGACCCAGTCCTGCCCCCCGAATAGCTGTACTCAATCCATGGTCGGCGCTACTAGTCTCCAGAAGTATCACCGAGCGGAGGTTGAAGTTCCAGCTCCATGTCTCGAAGGTGAAACTTAATCAACTAAAGCGCAGCCAGGCTGATGACGGCGAGCACAGTATCATCAGAATGCCAAACATACAACTGCAAGTCAATCAAGCTTGATTCAACGTCAAAACATCATGCACAAGAGCAAAACATGTTTGTTCCCCGCTTGAAGCGCTGGATCACCCAGCCTCTCCATCATCAAATATAGATTGCGGAGCTTTGCGAGGCGCTGATGTGGACTCAGCCATGTCCACGTTGTGGGCGCTAACGTGGTCTGGTCTCGATAAAGGATTCGACGATGAGGGAATCGAGGATGTTGACGATGGACAGACTTGCAACGCTTGTGCGAGATCCTCCGGGTGCGAAGCTCTGTCTTGTTTGGATCGGAGGCGATCATGAAGGCGAAGCAGGTCATCAAATGTGAGATCCGTTGCACCCTAGGATTGAAGGTGAAGCAAAAGCTTCGCGGGTACTGTGAGCGAAGTTAAGCGGGGGTCGTCTCGTGCTTGAGCGAGCCTAAAATGATCACTCTGAGGGTGTCCACAAAGATTCTGTGTAGTTGGTGGAGCAACGCGGCGAAAACCTTCCGTGGTCCAGTCACGCCTGAACCAGGTGGTAGAAGAGCTGTCATTGGAACCATCCGGAAGTGCAGGTGTAGGAAATTTATTCCACGCTCGGTAGGTGTTAGCTGCAAGAAAATTGTTGGCGTCAGGGCGGTTCTGACGCTCCACCCACACACACATGGTTTGTCTCAGAAGCTCCATTGAAAGGGGATGCTTCCTGTTGGCTGTCCTTTCAACAAGACCAAAATCTGGTAATTCCAAAAAAGGCACATCACCCAAGGGAAAAGGGGAAATGTCCAGTTGGAGGCAGTTTGAGACAAGCCCAAGCATATATATGTATATATATATATATTGATATACATGGGTACAGACCATACTACCTAGGTCTCTAGGTATCCCAATGAAAAGGTACATGTCAAGGCACTGACAACTGACTAGAGCCAAAATGAAACACGTGGAATCCGTCTATTGTTACACAAACTGACCAAACGACACACCTATACATATATCCTACACCAATGTGTATATATCCATCTATATATATATATGTAAATGCTCTACATATGTATATATATATACATATATGCATACCTATTTACGCGAATTGCGCATCTCCCCGGCCGGCGCCTCTGGCTCCATGTCCACGTCCATGGCAACACCCAAGAGGCCCAACGACGTAACGAGGCGTTTGGTGCAATCCCTGGAGGTCGATACGGAATGCCAAAGCTGTGGTCATGTGATGCATATGTTACTAGGCACACACGCATTGCATGTGTATATATATACACATATATATATATATATATATATAATATTTACTGTATGCGCTCAAGGCTGAGTCTTGCATCAGCGGCAACGGGACAAACGTGTTCCTGTTGTCTCTCCAACAAGCCTTGCACTGCAATCCCGGCAAGAATACGCCTTCTGACGTGGTCCATGCGGAACGTCTTGAAAACATTGGCAGGCAACCACCTCACAAAGCGCGGCAAGTAGATTGGGAAAATTCACCTCCTACGAGTAGCTCTAGTTTCTGAAGCCAGCGGCGGTCAACATGCAGCACAAGCTCAGAGACACTGGACTTGGATGCCTCGTGTGTTGTCTCTGGACGATGACTAGATTGCAAAGCCATGGGCAACTAGGGGCAAACGATGGCCACGAAGGCAACACGGGAGCTCCTTCATTGAAGCGACACACACACACACACACACAGAACCAGCATGCATGAGCATTCAACGAGGGCGGCTTGGCGCCTAAGGGCTGTCGCAGGTTTGTCTGCTTCGCATAGAGCCGAAGTCCTTCTGAAAATGTTGCAACGACTTTGACAACCCAAGCAGTGACGGCTTCGACCTCGCATCTGCAAAACTGCGAAATATATTTTTGAGGAGTGACTGAGAGTGGCGGGTGAGAGAACCAAAAATAGGTGACTTAGAGCGAAAACTCACTAGGTTGAGATAAGAATGGACCTCCAAGAAAAGAAAATCTTGATGGGTGAGGTCAAAAGACGTCAAGTGATGATAGAACCAAAGAAGAAACAAAACATATGAATAATTCGCCCATGACCCACAAATCCCCTGGTCAGGCAAAGGGCGCGGATTCCATTTCAAACTCTTGTGGTGCACGTCAAACTCGCTCTTGTGAACGATAATAAATCGACGCCCTGGAAGGAAACCGTCACCACGGAATCAATGGTTTGACGCCAAATCCCATTTGGTCGCTGTTTGCTTTGCCCGGAGGCGGTATAACCATGGTGGCACAAGTAGATGGACCTCAGTCATATATCCATACAGTGATGCATCGCAGGCATTTCGTGCAACTGGATGGAGGTTTAAGACTTCGTCTGCGTGAGCTTGGGAGAATGCATCCACCTTGTTTGTATCGCCCTGGCTTGATCTAGCTGGCTGCCTGCCCATTTTAAAGCAGGGACCAGCACCCTCTTACCCAGTGGATGCTCTGATGGACATGGCACTCCAGAAACCATCGCTCGAGAATCTCTGGGATTGATCCTCTCAAGTTTGAGGGCCCCGAACTCTTTTGGGTCATTGGCTTCAATAGAAGAACCCTTATGACTAGCAAAAATATGGGTTGATTTCATGCCGTTGTTGTAGAGAATGTCCCAGATCAAGGCGCTGTCAGTTTTACTCCTTGCCCACGCCACAGACAGTTTCGGTCCGACAGCCTTCGCAGCCGCGCGCGGCTTGCCATCCACAAAGGCGCTCGGCAAGGAGGGCAAAACGTGTCTCTGTGTGTGTGTGTGTTCTTTTGGGACTTGGTACCCGTTTTGGGGTGGGCTCAAAGAGAAACCATAGGAAAGCCACTCAGTTCGATCTGGGTGGCTTCAACAAAAAACCAAAATCCAACAGCCCAGGTACGGCAAGCGCACACAGCCTGGCTGGCCAGTGGGAACAAAAAGCTAGGTTCGAGCGCATGCCAAGAGGTCAGCGGGCCAAGCGCATGGGAAAACGTGCACGGTGATCTGATGCCTCAACTTGGAACCCTGTGAAATGCGAAGGCACTTCCACCTGGGAGGTTCAACCGGTACGCAGAAGTGTGTCCCACATCGCCGACCTCACATTCGCCATGGCGTTCAAACAATTCCGGAGACGGGGGGGTCATTTGTGACACCTGGATGGAAACTAGCAGCTGATTCTTAGCCAGTGAGCCCTAGTTGGGAAGGCAGCAAAGAAGCTTCATTCAAACATCGAGCAAAAGGCATACAAGACTTTTCAAAGTCCCGTGAGTTTATCGGCACCAACAAGGGCAGGCACCTTGTTCCGACGAGCTGACCACGCTGGGCCGTCTCTCTTTTGCCGGATTGGCTGCGCTGGCCGAGCCAGATTCAACTCGGGCCGCTTCGACTCGGCCCTGGGTCTGCGAGGGTCTTGGAATCTCAAACCAATTTTAAGACAATGCCATTTTGATGTCCAGCAAGAGAGCCGTCTCCGGAAGAAGCTGATTACACCCTGTGTCATATTCACCTCCTGCCCCATTGATATCAGCTCACAGCGGGGGATTCGGGCTGTATCTGAATGAATCTGAGATGAGGATCTTTGGGGGTTGTCCACGCGCTGATGGCCAGGCCGACAACTAGAATTGCACGAAAAAGGGCACTGAAACTGCAACACCTGTTCGATCATCCTCTTCTTACAGCAACAACTTTACATCTAGGGTAAGATCTCAAGCTGCGTCTGCATGAAGCACATGGAAGCTCGGCTGAGTAACAAAAAAAAAGTCAATAGCACAGACCCCCAATACCCCAATACCCCTATCCTGCAGAAGCGCAAAAGCGTCTCTTAAAAGGGCCGCAAGCCTCGGCATGCATCGGTCCATGTCGCCACCTCTTGAAGCCTTGAAATCGGCCAGGTGGGTCATCCGAAGGAGCGAGCCAAGACGGGGGCAAAAAACGAGCCGAGGTCGCCCGAAAAGGAGGCGGAGCCAGGGGTAGGGGCGCTGCATGCACCGTATTGCGCCAAGCAAAAGAAACACCGGACCTGTGCCCAGAGAAACTCCAAACTGCACCACTTCAAGCAATGAGCCTGGCTTGAGGAGCTTCTCAGCTCCTGCAAGCCAGCATGCATCATGCAGTTGGCAGCATGCCGCTGGTATCAAGAAGTTCTTCTGAAACCGCAGATGCCTCGGGAATGACTACCAAACTTGAACCACCATCTATGTTCAACCAAGCTATCTAAGGACCACCCAGAGGTGCGAACCAGGCTTGGGCTCTTCCTAAAAACTGGAGCACAACGAATCAAATGCCACTTTCGAACTGCTCCTTCGAGCCGCCGAAACAAGCCCCCAAGTTGGTGCGAACCAAGAGACGGGCGCCCGCTCACAACCTGGAGAAGGCCTGACAGGCGTCCAATTCCGGCTGAACCCACAGATCTTTCCACCGGCAAATAAAGATCGAAGCTGAAAATTGGGAGAGATGGGAAGCCCCTGCCAAAGATGCTTCCTGACAGCGTTGAGATGGAAGCAGAATTCACTAACCCATCAAATGGACCCCCAGGAAAGGAGCCGGAGTTCGGGAACAAGGCGAGGTCGCCCAACTTGACACATATTTCTTGCGGACTGGTCGCGCCAGAGGCGCGACCATGTTCTCCGCATGAGTTTCCCCTGTAGTTGCATGCTGGTGGTTTCTAGTGCCAGAACAGGAAGGTTGAAGGACCCCTTTTTTGGTTGTGACAAGGAAGCCTTTTCCGGACATCAAATTTGGGCTCCTGGATTTCAAACACATCCCACCCAAAGAGGCTCCACCAAAAGCCCTTCAACTGAAATGCCCTCCAAAAAACTCGAAATAGGCAGCACCTCCGCAGGTCTGGGGTGTCTCTCACCAGACTTGCCGTGTTCCTAAAACACCTAAGGGTTGCCATCTTTGGTCTGGGAAAGCTGAACATCCATCCTGGGATATTCCCAGGTCTTGGCTAACCCACAATACAGGACCTGCCGTTGGTTAAAATGTGGCAGTGGAAATTTGGGAACCGCTATGGGCTTGATTGGCTGGGTTGGTCATGAATCCCGTGCAAAAGTGAAACTCGTTGCTCCCCACATATCTCTGGGTCGCAACACGGTCGGTGGTTAGACCACGAGCCGCGAACGAGTGTGCAGAAACTCGTTTCTGGTTAGTGAGAAATAGCCATGTCAAAAGTGTCAACCTGGCGTCGATTGAAATCGATTCGTTCGAACCCGCCTGCCGCGGCGCCGACGTGTTCGCCGGAGTGCTCGCCGCAGCGCTCGCCGCATCGGCATCCGCCGCGTCGAGGATGCGGCCTTTCTGAACCGCCGCATGGGTGCCCGTTGTGGGGGCGAGTCTCAAAGGGAAAATTAGGTAGCTTCCCGTTGGTGTGAAAGAAAATGACGAAACAAAATTGAAACACCTAACAAATAGTTGGCTTAGGTTTGCTGTCAAAACCTAACAGAAGGAAGTTCCAACAAAAGACACACCCACAGAGATGTGACCCTTTCGGAGTGTCCTCAAGCAGAGTCGTCAACAGTGTCCTTGGGAGTTGTTGGATCCCCTCATTTGGGCACAACCCGAGCAGCACGACCACCACAGTTTTTTACCGGGTCAACGCTTGGTACTTGGTACCATCTTGCATCTTTGCCCTTTACTAAAAGAATGAGGCTAGTAGAGATTAAAGTCCTAGGTCTATGGTTGAACATTGACTAAGATAAACCACCACGACCATAATGGGTATGTGTCAAAATGACGAAACCCTCAAAAAGGTTGGCTTCCTTTTGATGTCCCTAGTCAAACGGAGCTAGCACTTCTGAATACGTCTCTCCGAAGGGTTGCTGCTGGCTTGCTGCGATCGTCAAGCAACTGGCAGCAATCAATAAGCTTCATGCCTAAACTCCCCCCAAGTGCCTTGACAAACATGGATCGTAAAGTCTGCGGGCGCTTGCACTGTTGTCCTTTCGAATGGTTCGTGCACTCAAGTGCCCCAATCATACGCTCAAGCCATCCAATGGGGCGGTAGCCTCTCTGCCAGTGTCAGAACAACCAGCCTAAGATCTGGGCCCGGATCTTGGGCAAGGCGCCAATCCCACTCTCACAAGCGCAACTGGCCCCAATTGGGCTCGCTCTTCCTTGAGAGGTCCTTGAGGGTGTTGATTGGGTGGGGATTTCAAGGAAAAAAGGCGCAAGCCTTTGCTTGGATGTCAACAGAACACAACCCCAGCTTCCAGTACACCAGCCTCCAGCGATGCGCACGGGCTGCCCCAGGGCAATGGACCTCTGCGCCGCCACGCCTGTGAAGTGGGGCCAAAGGGCCGCGTGGGGTTTGTTTTCTCACGCAACCCCCATGGGAACGAAAGCCCAGTCAACATGGATTTGCGTCAGAATCGATCATGGACCAACAATGCAAGAACCAAAACGGGCACCAACTCCAGACAACATGTGCTGTGTTTCGGAGAAAAAGGCCTTTTGTAGATGGTGCGCAAGAAAAAGAGGAAAGCTGCGTGTTTCTGGCTTGGACTCGGAAGATTGACAAGCGGAAAGGGATCCCAGGTCCTGGAAACTCCAGGGCAAACTGGAAAGCAAAGCATCGTCCAATGGCAAGAAACGAAGCTGCGAAGCTGCGAAGCTGCGATGATTAGCGTGGAATCGGACGTTGGAGTCTGGGCGCTTCAACCGCGCTTCATCCTAGATCGGGCCCCTACCAAAACGAGATGTGACCTGCGGCAAACTCTCCGCAGACACATCATGGCGCAAGGCTGCAAGGGTTTGATTGGCTCAGTTTCGAAGTGGGGGTGAACAGCCGGAATGATGGATGCAAAGCCAACAACGAATTATGAACATCCAGTGTTCTGCCTCGAGCAAGGCTATCTTTGAACATGTCAGCGTAGAGTTCAAGTCGATGTAAAGCAGGATCAGGCAGTGCACAATCGAATTGCGACAAAAAAATATGCGGCAAAACTCGGCTGACCATCCCATTTGGTGTACCTTCAAATTCCCGCTGTCAACCGCGCCGCTTAATGAAACAATTCCCTTGCCGCACGAGCGACCCATCAGCACTGCCATCTTGCCGTCTCGAGCAGACCTGGGCAGCCACTCCTTCAGTGCTATCGTTACTGTTCTCATAGTGATCGTCATGTTTATCAGCATCAGTATTGACATGAGTATCATGCTTATGAATATGATTAGCAATACCGGCATCATCACTGAAATGATAATTTGTCTTGGCAGCATTCATATGGGGTACCATCATTCTGTTCTAGCTTGTTGGCACTACTACTAAATATCATCATTATGATTAGTAGGGTTCGGAACCAATTTGGGACTAGTGTTGTTGATTTTTGAAATATGTGTGTTCATGGTGCTTAGTGGGGGGGGGGGGGGGGGGGGGGTCGAAATATGCAGTTTCACTGCAATAGTATTCTATGCCAGGCTGCAATGTACTATAATAGAATAACATGACACAATATAGATGTAATGTAATGTATCATATAAGTTCATGCCCTAATAAGTACTAATATCATAATGTAGTATAATACAATATAATAGAAAATAATATAACATAATATAATATAATATAGTACCACAACACATACTACAATGCAATACAATACGATAATGTAATGTATCATGTGAAATAATATAATATCATGTCACATGATGTCATAATTATATGTTGTGTGTGTGTGTGTTCATGTCACTATGCTATAGTATCCCAATACATGTGTCTTCATGTCATACAGGCTATCCTACACTACTCCACACTACGCACTGATACCATAGATATATATATATATATGCATACATACATACATGCATAAAGTCATGTCTTGAAGTATACAAATACATGTGTTTGCAGAAAAGCAGAAACACACGACATACTCCAGCATACACACATAATTATGCGTGTGTATAGATATGTATATATATATATATATATGTGTACATGCATCCAGTGCCATCTCCTCACCCTGCCATGCGCCCGCAAGCACGCGCACAACCCCCACTGGTGCCGTCGGGGCTCACAGGGGCGGGCTGCTTCGATCGGATCGCGTCCAAGAAGGCGCTGAGCTCGTAGAAGGTGGCGCCCTCGTGGTACCCCGCCTCGGAGCTGGGAGCAAGCAAAATGCCCCAAGACCCCACCCACCCACCCACCCACCCCGAACCTTCCGACGGGGTCCCCAAAGGGCAACCCTGGACAAAAAGGTTCTTGTAAGAATTCAGGAAGAGGATCTTAGAAGGGCTCTCAGAAGCTTGGGAAGAGGGGAGGCGGCATATATCTAGTTGCACCACTGCAATTCACCGACCTGAAATTTTGACAAACGCTCAAAAAAAACCCTCCCTCATGGGCGAGGTCGTTTTTTTTACAGTCTGCATCTCCTGGTGCCATCCCCGTTGCAAACCCCGTCTGGTGCAACCGATGCGCTTCCGCCAAGTCTTGCGGCACTGGGATGCTAATCACCTCGGGGACCGCGCGCTCCTCCTCGGGATTCGAACAAAAGAGCCGAACAAAATTCATTGTCTCCCCCCCTCCCCGCCTGCCCCCCTCCCCCCCTTCAGTTCTGCGCCCATGAGGCGGGTCCCTGAGTTTGACACGGCGCCAAATCCTTCCCGCTTTGCGGCCTTCTTTTCCGAGATCAATCCTCCTTGACCCCTTTTCTGTATAGCTCGAAACACTACACAGAACAAAATATGATTCCGAAATGTTCAAAACGGATCACTCGAAAAACTTGGCCCTGGAACCGGACCGCATATTTTCTTAGCCCAAGATCATTGGCCAAAATTCACTCCAGGTGCCTAGAAGCTACAAAGGGGAACCCTTTCGCGACCCAAGGGAGGGATCTATGGGATTGCCGTTGACTGTCTGGTGTCTTTGGACTTGGTGGGAATTTTGATCTGGACACTTTGGTAAGCATCGTGTAAAGGAAGATTTCGGTCCACCTCCAATGTTTGAGGGCGTTCCCAATTCAGGGAAGTCAGATATGAGCTTGTCTCTGACACATACCCCCAAAATCGGCTCCGTGCTGTTTTCATTGTTCTTCCCCAACAGCTGAAAGCTTTGGGGTCTCACCCCAGGGTGGTCCGGGGCGGCTCTGAGGTCAGGTTCCGCAGGGTTATCACCTGAGCTGGTTCGTGTTGATTGGGCTTGCTGGAAGCACACCTCAAGGGTAACTCCAACAAACCCAGGCGGACAGAGCCCATAGCTCTTGCTGGCTTTGCTTGGTATTTGCAAGAAACACGGAACCGATAGAAACCCCGCACCCAAGAGAAAGAAACAAACTTGTTTGATAAACAGCCCACATCCAGGAAAGCCAAAGGTAGTGACGACCAAAAAAAAAAGGAGCTCCGCATCCGCCTCACAACGCGAAGCAAAAAACGAGAAACCGCGGGACGGAGAGAGAGACTCGACGCCGGCTCCTTGCTGGGCGGCGCCCGGCCCAGGCGGGTCTTCCGGCGCTGCACCAGCCGCACCTCGGGGTGTTCGGGTGGTGTTCGGTTGGGTCCCGCGGGGTCCCGGCAAGGCTGAGGTGCGGGAGGGGCCATGAAAAATGCGGTGTTGTGTTTCTTTCCAGGAACCCTCTATACCTTTTGAGCAAAAAGGGTATGCTGGAATTTGGTGGGGATGGTATCCAGCAAGATTGTTGAAGTGGCATAGACACACAACGCCTACTTTGAATGCTAAAACCCGAGTCAAAAGCAATTCCCCACAAACCGTGGGTGCAAAATACCCCAAGTGTGCACCAATACAGGGCCGGGGCATGTCTCACACACTTGTGGTGTTATATAAGGGATGGCATCAAGCAATTGGAGGTGAGGGGTCGAAAGATCAAAGCAACATTCTACGACTTCACCAAGACAATGTATTGGCCTATCCCAGAAAGACGTGTCTGTGTGCTAAGATGAGGCAGCCTTTTGGTAGAGTGGTCAAGGGAACTAATGTAACACCGGTCATTTCAATTTATTGATCAATGGTCTTTGGTTTCAACCCATTCCTATGTTGAAAGGGGGGGGTTCTTGCAAGACGGAATCATAAGCCCGCCGCCTTGCTTAAATGTGTCTCCTTGTTTGAGGAAAACGCCACATGAGCAGCAGTCATGATTCATCGGCTATACTGCATATCGTTGCAGCCTCAAATTCCCATGTCAGTCGGGGGCAATTATTTCACATGCTTAGACCGGAAGGCCTTGCTAGACCATGTTGGAGCTCGGTGTATGGTCTTTGGCCTGTTCAGTCTCCAAAAGATAGTAGTGAAATCTAGCAAAAAAGTACGCCCCAAACGGAAAGGGGCGTTGTGCGCTTCATGTTACCCTTTGACCTAGTGAACATGGTGTAAACCAGGGGGCGGACCTAGCGGACCTAGTACAGTAGTCACGATGCTAGAAGATGATCAAGGGCTCTGCACCCGACAGATTTTGGCCTGTTAGATGTTTATGCCACATCTGCCCAACATCATTTTGCGGCGCTATCTTCAGTCTTCTTTCCTCCACTTCCTCCTCTTCCTCCTCCTTACCACTTCTGAGATGTCCACACGACGGCAAGCCGTGCCCTCCCCCCACCCTCCCCGCCCTGATTCTTCAAGGCCCCGGCACCAAATCGCCCAAAAAAACAAAGGACATGTGCCTCTGCCTCTCCAAAAAAAAAGAAAGCACTCCGTTCCCACAAGTCCAAAGGGCCAAAAACCACCCAGCAAAACCACCCAAAGGGCCACATCCGGCAGGGCCACCGCAAAAGGCGGCGCGAGGCCCTCCAAGGCCCGGGCGGTGGACTCGGGGCTCTTCGCCTCCACGCTGCCGCGCTGGCAGACCAGCCGCACCTGGCCGGTGACGTTTCGGGTTTCGTATGGAACGGAGAGTCAGACGTCCGGTTTCCGGTTTTGTTCGAAGGTTCGGGGGTTTTAAGTGAACTTTGGGGGCCTCAGTAAATTTTGGGGGTTGGGGTTCAGAAATGGGGTGTTGGGGTGTTGGGGTTCAGAAATGGGGTGTTGGGGTTTTGGGGTGCAGAAATGCGCTTGGGGTTTTGGAGTTTAGGGAGTTTGGGGAGTTTAGGGAGTTTAGGGAGTTTAGGGAGTTTAGGGAGTTTAGAGAGTTTAGGGAGTTAAGGAGTTTAGGGAGTTTAGGGAGTTAGGGAGTTTAGGGAGTTCAGGGAGTTTAGGGGTTTAGGGAATTTGGGGTTTTGGGGTTTAGGCAGTTTTGGTCAGAATCGGGTTCGGAATAAAGGGAAATCTGGAAGCCAAGCGTGGGGCGAACTCTCTTCTGCGATTTATACAGCTGATTCAATTGAGCAGTGAGACTTGACAAGCGCATGCCGATCCTTCCTGGACCTTTCGAATTAGTCTGCGCTGTCTGCCTTTGTGTCCACTTGACTCAAAGTCGAAAGCAAAAGGTTCAAGAAGCGATCAACCAAGCACCAGAGAAAGGACAACCAGCGCGACCAGCCAAACCAGCCAAGCCACCCCAACCTGACCGGCCAACCAACCAACCAGCCAACCAGCCAGCCAGCCAGCCAATCCAAGAATGAAGCAATGAACCAATCAACCAACCCATCAATCAGCCTCTAAATCGCTACCAATCAGTTCCACCAAGGCTGGAAAACTCAAGCTGCCCTTCCTGCTGATGAATTCAACAGGAAAAACCAAAGAGAGGCGTACGACAGGAAGGCAACAGCAGTCCAACAGAAAACACGCGGGATACCGAAAGGAAGCCACTCGGAAACCAACAGGAATTCCACAGGAAACCCTGAAATTGTATTGGAGGGCTTTTTGAGAATTCTGCCGTGCGCTCATGCATGGTTCCCAACAAATCTTCATCTGCCCGCAGCAACCGCTCCGTTGGCAAACAGCACCTGCTCCGTCTGCTCGTCTTCGGCAAACATGCACAGGTCCAGCGATGCCCGCGCTCCGCTCGCAAACTCCACCACCTCGGACGTGCTCCTCTTCAAGGCTCGCAACGATCCAGAGAAACAAATGGGAACGGCAAAATATTGAAGCGTGCTGCATTCACACCCGTTCAAAGGGCCTCGACTTTCATTGTGACAAAGGGAAAAGACACGTGTACGGGTTGCAAAGAGTCATACACAAAACAAAACACAGTATCGGATAAAACATTGACTGCCATGACAATGTGGACTTTAATACCCACGCAGACCTCACCAGGTCTGCATAGCGTTTGAGGCCATTGCTTCAATGAGTCACAACCAAAACCTGCTGGCTTTAGTGGTCTACCCAAGACATGTTGGGCTCTATTTTTCCCGGTCGCGGGCTTGACTGTGCCTCTGAGACAAGCCATGGATGTGCCGATTGCCAGTGAGTGCGCAAACTGGTACACAGCTCCCTGGCCAGGATTCAACCACAGCAACGCCATTTATACGGGACCAAAAACCCAAAAGCTCGAGAGACTCCAAAAAGTAGAATGTTCACGATCAAGTTGTAAATATTGGTATTGTGGATTGTTGGGCGGTGTCAACTTGCTATGAAATGTGAAGCATGTTGACAAAGGAAGAATAACAAAGTAGATCCCAAATCATGCTCCGTGGCTTCTTTAGTTTGCTTGGACTGACTAAAGGCCCCTGGACTTTCTGATCTGGTGTGAGTGTGTCCATGGGTGATGTGTGTGTGTGTGTGTGTGTGTGTGCATCCTGCAAACTTCTTGAGGAAAGCGAGGTTCAGGCGGCGTCCGGCCAAACTGGGGGCGCGGTTCGACATGGAAATCGCCCAACCAAAGAGGCATGGTCACCTTGTTGAATGGTGCGCTCAAAATCGGGAATCCGCACCCTCTCAATTTCGGGCAGTCTCCTCCCCTCTGCAGCCCCCAGGCGTTTACTGAGCTCTCTGCCACCAGGGCATGATCAATGATGTCTGGCACGCCCTTCTCATAGACCTGACCAAACATGCCCCAAAAGCCGAGGACAGCACTTCACAACCGTGGGCAAATAAGGATTTTCCCGACAGCGCGTTGCACACACCTCTTCCGCATACAAATGCAGAGGCTGTGGGGTGAAATTCAGATCGTCTCCATGTTCAAAATACCAAGCAACCCCATGCATTGCACTGAGCTCCATGCCTTTCGACCCTCCCCAGGCCTCATCTTTGTGGTTCATGGCCTGATCGCCGGAGGCGTAGATCGACACGGGCTCACCTCACACATTTGAGCTCGGCGAGTGCTCGGAGAAAGCTGTGGTTCGTTAAAGGCACCTCGGGGTGGCTTCTTCGAGGGATTTTTGTTTTTTTGTTGGGGGGGATTCAGAAGGGACTTCAAAGAAAAGCCCACCCTTTTTGTAAGTTCTCTCATTTAGAGACAAAGCCACATAACGCTATAGCCAGAAGGCATGGTACTAGTTGAGACATGATCACATTTTGTCCAAAGGTTATGGAAGCTCCAAAACCAGCAGTGCCCTACAGAGCCCCGAAGTTCTATGAGCACGAGAAGACAAGCCACCCCGCTCCAAAACAAAAGCAAGGATCTGTGTCCTACCATTGCCGAGAGGCATCTCACGATCTTGTCGGCTTCTTTAAGCACGTGTCCAGCCATCTTGCCACCCGTTGAACATGTCGAGTGGCCAGCTCAATTCCCGTCCATCGCAACCCACGCTTTCCCAAGCACGAAATGACCAACAGTCATGGGGCCCAGGAGATGCCCGGAGCAAGAGTAAGGATCCGATTCAATTTCGGACCAAAAGGCTTGTCTCGATCTTTCCCACAGAGGTCGCCCAAAGGTCCGGAAAAGAGGGCAATTCGTTTTTGAACAACCCTCACATGGCTTTGTCTCAAACTGGGGGAAGTCCAAAAGTGGCTTCCCTTGTATAATTTCCATTGAAAAGGAGGTTCCCCAAAAACAGGCACGCAGAATGCACAATGACAAGCTTACCCCCGGGATGTCCACTGCGGGATCCCTATGGTATGTATCAACGCCACACGCAGCTTTGAGCCTGGCGTTCTGGCTTCCAAACTGTAGATCCAACCTTAAAAGACACCCAAGTAAAACTCGCTTTACACTAGAGGGAAGCCTGGGAAAAAGGTGCCTCTGGGCACCGCACTTTGGAGGATGCGCCGCATGAGGTCGAAGAAGTGACACGCCTGAAGCGGGAAACAATGTAGCAGAAAACATGCCAAGCCAAGAAACAAATTCCGGAGGAGCATGAGCCTATATGCACCATGTGTCACATGTATACATATATGGTGATATGTGTATTATATGTCTATACACACACACCCTTCAAGGTTGGTGCTCTGCTAATTACACAAACCTCTGAGCACGAGCTTGCTCCCAAACAAAAGCCTGTTTCACGCACTGAGCTTCCGCTTCCGCTTCGAGGGGCCTTCTCCACGAGTGTGCCGCCGGTGTGCTCGTTGAAGCCTTGAAGCGCGCAGCCAGCTGCGGGGTCGGGGGATTGCGTGGATAGTACAAACGAACCGTGAGCTGGCGTTGCCGCAATGTGGATTTGGGGCGTGCAGCAAACGATGGACAAAGTGGCCAATTGGTGAAAGTCGAGAAAGGTTTTGCAACGAACCCGAAAGAAAGAAAGCAGAGAGGCTTACCATTTCCATGCGGAGTCGCGGTTCCAGTTGTCCACCTTCACCAGGAATGGGAAGCGATGCTCCCGGACGGAAAGAACCCGGGGTTCGCCAAGCCTCCTGCGCGCCCCGCGTAAAATGGAACGGGGGAAAAACCAACGGTTCCTTCCAAACGAAAGGCTTCTGATCCACAGGTTCTGCGAACCTCTCCTTCAACCAAACAAATAAAGGAGATAGCCTCAAGTCCCAAGGCTCTAGAAGGTCCCAGCTCACAAAGCTTAAAGAAGACGCCTCCAACCACGCAGACAGAGACGGAGCCCAGGTACAGACACCACGGAAACAAACACACACACACACACACACACACACACACACACACACACACACACACACACACACACACACACACACACACACACACACACACACACACACACACACACACACACACATTAAACCTCGCACCACCCACCAGCACCCACCCGACGGCCTCATCAACAGATCCTCCTGGAAAGGGACCACGGGGGCCAAGTGAGCTACGACCCCACCCCTCTGCCCGCTTGTTTGTAGCTTAGATGTGGATTCCCTTTTGAAACCGTGCGGGAGTTTCGTGCCAAAAGCGGTTCTCGTTCGGGGTTCCCTCAGAACCAGCACATCACCCATTCCGGCTCTCCTGAGGTCGGTCTCTTCAATCAGCCGCGCGATGGGCGGCATGTACCGGTACTCCATGCCAGTCCTGGCGATTCCCACTAGAAAAACCTGTCCCATGAAATTCAAAAGGGCGGGCAAGCAACGCCTTGCTCTATTAAGGTGCCTTTCAAAAAAACAAAAAAACAGCTGCAACAAAACTCTTTCTTGAGCCTCGCTTGGGTGAGGTGCTAGAACTGGTGACCCCTGGTTAAAAGATCTACCTTGGAAATTGGAGACTGCGGAGCCATCGGCGGCTTCTCCATTGCACCCTGAAAGATTCACTCGATGGAGAAATCCAAACTCGTTGGACCAATGCCGCAAATGTCACCAGCAGCTCAAAATCTGGCGCCAACCTTCCAATTTGTGCGGCTGCTAGGGTGATTCCTAAGCCTCCACTTCAGTAACTTGGACACAGGGGGGGTATTCCAAAAGGAACTGGTTCTCAAGTTCTAGGCACATGCATCCCGTGGGAAACTTACTCTGTACCCCGAGTGACAAATTTGCCAGCTGCCGCGTCGCATGGGAGCTTGGTTTACACAATCCTGAACTATGACAAGAACTGTCAACGCATAGAGCCAGCTCTGTCGGGGCTGTGAGTTGAGCAAAACCGACTCTCGTGCCACCATGATGGATCATTCAAAACTCCGGGCTGGCCCCGACAACCACATGAAAAACAACACGTGGCAGATGTGCATGAAGATGCCGGGAGATGTGCTCCGAAGGTCACGCTCGGTCAGCAGACGCTCAACCTGCCCACATGCAAATTACAGGGTGACAAGTAGATGGCACACGCTCAGCATCCGTGTTTTGTCATCCCCTTTAATTCCAGTGATATAGTCCCATCAACCTTCGCCCAGGTGTAGTATGTCTTGTGCATCCTGAGAACAAATCAACAAATATGAAGGAGAATCAGAGTCAACAAAAAAGACGCAAGGAAGGTATTGCGTGCAAAGAGAGCTACATCGATATACATCGGTTGTACATATATATATATATATATATATGGTACCCCCCGCCCATGGACCCTGGTCTGGTGAGCTTGAGCTGTGTTTGTTCCAGTGTGTTATGCCTTTTTTGGCCTCGTTGATTTTGTTGGGGGGGTGTCACATGTATATATACATGTGAGTACATGTGCAATGTAAGCAAAGATATCAACATCTGCCATCTGACAGAGTGTGCGTGCATCTCAGAGTATTGGGCCACCCCTAAAAACACTGGGATCCAAGATCTGAGAAAACTCTTTTTGGAATCTTGAATCTTGAATCCCAGAGTTTAAGTTTGAAAACGATAGGAAAAAAGAAAGGAAAAACAAGGTTGTCCCAGGACTCTAAGTGTTCAATAGATTCTGCAACCAAGTACACACAATCTGCAGTCATATGCATTTCTCCAAGTTCCCGCAATTTCTGGATTCAAAGTGAGAGGAGGATATTCTAGCAAAACAAAATAATATATTGAGTATTCAATTCAGTGGTAAAATACTTTCGAGGTAATAGAACAACATCAAAGTTTTTTGGGGCTGGCCCAACTTGAAAGTAAATCGGGGCTGGCCAGGATTGATGAGTCTCAGGAAAGTTGTTGTCTGTGCAATCTTCAATTTTGACTCCTCAATCCAGTGGTCAAGAACTTTCAAGTGTTAGAGGAACGTTTCTGTTCCTTGGGTTTGAGCAGGATTGACGATTTTTCTGGAAAGACTTCTGTGTAATCTTCAATCTGGAATCTTCCATCCGGTGGTAAATACTTTCAAATGCTTAGCGATTCAGTGGAACCGCTTTCAAGTTCTTCATTAGACAAACTTTCAAGTGCTTTTGGTGAGCGCGTTGCTTCATGCAAGCTATGCTCATGTTGACCCTTTAGGAGGTAAAGGTAGGTGTAAGGCTGAACACACTGCATTTTACAGCATTTTAGGAAGAGGCGCAGGATCATGATCTTCACACATCGTCTGCTCATCTACTACCTCCGCCTTCTGGGATAGAATAATTTATCATTTCCTGCCCAAATAAGACTTTAAAAACAATTGAATTAGCTAGAATCCCTGTTTCGAGGTAGTTTTAGAATTTGAACCTCTCTTCCCTTGAAATGTCCATTTTGAAACACTGTCTAACAAGTTTGATTTCGGACCTTTCTTATGCTACAAAGGACCAGAATGTAAGTAACACAAATCGTATTCGGAACTTCCTTTTAGAAGTCCCATAAATGTTAAACCATATTTAATATGAATTATATTTGAGAACTAGTTTATATGTAATTGTTATCAAATGCAAATTAAATTGTGTTCGTAATAGAAAAATATCTAAAACGTATATTGCGCTTGGGAATAAACTCCCATCTAATTCCTTGTGTAAAAGGTTAGTTGGAGTTTACCAGAAAATATATTTACATGTTCATGTAACTGCGATTTGGAAAGGATATGATTATCAAGTTATATTTGAACATAAAACACGTCTTGGAAGCCTACATCCTTACCAGACTATATTGAAAATTCCACTTCTAGCTGAAGTAAAATCCTATTTGGAAAGGGTATCATATTGCGACATTTCGCAGGACTCCGGGCTTCAAATGATCACGCTTTGGGGACCCAAAATTGGAAATTCGAGAGTTTAAGTCTCTAGATCCCCAAAAGTCACTAAAACCAGGGTCCATGGGAGGGTGCATATATATATATATTATTAAAGAAAGAGAGAGAGAGAGAGAGAGATAGACAGAGAGAGAGAGAGAGTGATAACGAGATATAAGACTAGAATCATGTGTATATATATAGTTATTTATTATGCGTAGCAAAGACATGCATAAGTAGTACACGAGGTGTCGTCATAGATCTGCCCAGTTGACACTCGAGTGAATCTTCTCGTGGCTCGCAAACCTCCAGTGTAAGAAATTGGGTGGGTGGTGTGCTAAGCCATCAACAAGGGATTAGGGTGTTGCCCCAAAAACATCTCTGCCTGAGTGCTCGAGCACGGGTGACTTCCAGCATCGGCGAAATTCCGTTCGGATGGAACGTCTGACTGGCACCTTCGGGAAATCAACGGACTCGATCCCTCCCGCAAACTCCTTTGGAACCTGTCCAGAACTCGGCCCCCCAAACCTCTCTGAAGGGGGGCATAATGTGGAGCCAGAGCCTCTGTTTTCATTTCCCTCCAAAAAAGACATCCCTTCCACTAAACACACACAGCCCATTTCACGAAGGACTTGCGCTTCGAAGCTCTCAGCCCCGTTCTCGTGAGGGGCACAGAGGGCGACTCGAATCAACGCGCCTCTTCGCAGTCCTCCACGGTGGTGCACAGCCTAGCAACATCCATGGGTTCTGCCGCGTCTTTTTCTTGTTGGAGTTGCTTGTAAGGGAAACGAAAGCGGAACCGGGACCCATTTGGGGGGCTACCCCAGTTGGAGACAAACCCACATACCAAGGTGTCCTTTCGGTTCCGTTTTTAGATGATCAGAACCAATCTGAAATCAGCGGAATCAGCAGCACCAAACCTAAAATGCGATCATGCTGTCATGACTCTTTAACGGAATCCTGCACCTTGCACCGGAATTGCCGGGAGGGAGAATAGTAAGTGTGGAGTACCATGGCTGTGTGACTCAAGCTCGTTCCATGGTTGGGAACTCCTGTTTGGTTGCCAAGATCGCAATGGTCGTCTACAATCCTGCCAAACAGACGGGGAGAGGACCGATACCCAGTACCAATCATGTGTTCAACCTTCTTTTCACCTCCTTTGTCAGCCCTCAAAGTGGGCTTATACCCAAAGAGGCGGAGCAGGTCCGTTTATTCGCGCTTCCAACATCCCACCAGAAGGATGCTCTCGGCCCAAACGATCTTTGGAACCACCCAAAATGGGATATCTAGAGACCCTGGACGGGGGCAGGTTCGGTGAAGCCCACGATTTGAGGTTGGAAGCCCCAAATGTGTTCAAGAGGGGCTTTACATGTTGCCAACAAAGAGACCGGGATTTCACCTGGTTCCCCCTGGCCCCTCGCTGAGATGCCGATGCCGAGCAGCGGCTTCTCGCAGAGGATGTGCTTCCCGGAGGCAATGGCCTGGCCAACGTCGAAGCCAAAATATGTGAAACGATGGCCGCCGGGGGTCATTGATACTTGGGCTAGGGGGGAAGTGTTGATAAACCTAGAAAAAACATATCTCTGTTTCATGGTTCCGCCCTAAACCACCGCCAGGGCCGGATGAGATGCAACACTCTGCACATAGCCTGTGCCGTGGGTTGTTTTCTTGCGTTGAGCACTCGGTCCCTGGTTCTGACGCATACCCATTGTGCGCTCCCAACTCCATTCATGATTGTGAACAATAAACTGCCTCTGCAACAAGGGCTTCCCATCCTTGTGACGGCTTTGCCTTTGCAAGCAAGGTCCCCTCATATCTCAGAAAATGGAAGTTCCACTTGACGATGCCATCCGAATAAAGACTGAGGGAAACTGCCATCATCACATCGGAGTGGTTGCCTCTTTTGCCACTCCGATACACCATGTCTAAATCCAGGCGAATCCTTGGCAATCCCACCCAGGACACCATGCGAATGGCCTCCCTTAAGAACCTCACGTAGACGGGAACAATGCCCAGTACAGAAGTCAGCTGCCAACTTACCCTTGCTCAACAGATTTCCGTGTGGGACCCCCAATCTTGCCTCGAGATCCTCCACAAGGGGACATGTTCTACCCGGTGCCAACTTTTGGGGCTGAACTGTGCGCTTTAGCCAGCCTTCATCAGAGTCCAAACTTGCTGCACTAAGATCTTGTAAACACATGCAAACACTATATCCGACCGGATGCGCTCTGGAGAGTTGATGCATGCACAGCCTTACAGGTAGTTGGGAACGCTACGCATCCCTTCACTGGACCCGGCAGATCTTGACAAACAGGTTTTTCTCACCCTGATGATTTGCTTATGCATTTGTTGCATGTTCGCGGCTTGGTTCTCCAACTGCGAAGGCGATTGAAACCAGACAGGCTCTACTATTTGTCCTTTCCAGGAGTTGTATGGTCACCCTATGGGCCCTCCATAGAATTCCGAGCTGGAAGAAACTCAGCAACAGTGGGCACCAAGAAACAAGCATCTCAGAAGATGTGTCGAAGCAAGTGCGCATGAGTTCATGCCCATCGAAACGACTCAAGTTCTGCTGGGGTGACCTTTCTCAGGGTTTGGATGTGCTGGAAGTTCGGAGTGCAGATGATGAGCACGTCCACAAAGTCGCAATTGACCAGATCCTGCCGGAAAGGGGAAAATCGGGCGCCCGACCCCATCTGAAGCCGCCGCAAATGACTGGAATTTCGGGGGTCGAATTTAATTCCAATGAAGCATCAATTAGGATGTCCACTTCGTGAAACTTCTGCTGTGAACTTGCTGAAACGACCCAAACAAGTTGGTACGAGAGAAGCAACGCTCGCCTCATCGGTGTGGAAGATGGCCACGCGAGGTGCGTTGGGGCCAAGCTCCTCGAGAGCTTCCTTCAGGGCCACCTCAAAAGCGATTTAGGCGAGGCGAGGACGTCGGGGGACTTGTAGCGTCCGACGGAAAACAACAACCTCGGCATGTGTTTTGAAGTAGTGGAGAAAAGGACCAAAGAAGAAACCTCCAGGGGTCAGGGGTGAGATTGACATTCCCCCACCCCAACCCCACCCCATCCCCACCCCCCAACCCGCCCCGGCTCCCCAGCCAGTGAGGTCGTTGCTTGGAGGCATGCACCATGAGTCTGACTTTGCTCTTACTTGGAATGTGGAGGGATCGGATGACCCATGAGGAAGCCAACCACGGAATTCTAGGCCGTGCTTAGGTTTGGATCAACTTCCACTAACTGTCTCTTTTGACAATGGCCCACTACCCAAACATCTGCGATCCTCTTGTGGCCACGCCTTCATCCCCCGACCCCCCGACCCCTCGAAATCAGGCCTCACTGGTGTCTGCCACAGCGGTGACATGCAACTCCTTCTCCAACAGAGCCTCATTGCGGCTCAAGCCGCGCAAAAAAAAAATGCTTGGGGTGTCCCTTGTTGGATGAAAACCTTCGTGCCAGGTTGAAGTCATCTGGACATCGGGTTGGCAAAGGCTCCTAAAGGGCGGCCTTCGGACAAGTTGATTTGGACCCTTGCAACTTGGCTGTGCGACTCTACAGCCCCGCTGGGGTGTGGGACGCTGCTCGACTGAAAGATAGCAAATAGAATTGCACACCCGCTTGTTCCACGTCGGAAGTCGGCTGGCAGTCAGCCTGCTGCTCTGGCAGAATCCTTGGGCCGAGCCCTGCTTGAGCAATCCCCCTGCCAGTGGTCTAGTTGCGTTTCAAGCAATCTTGCCCAACCCCGCGCCCTGGCGAAGCGGCGATGTTCCGGATGTGCTCCTTCCCCATTGCGCCAGTGCCGATGATACCTCCACCGCTCAGGGACTGGAGCCTTTACAATGACCATCCCTCGCCCAACCCGCCCTCGGCCCACCCGTAGTGAAGCCAAGTTTGGCAAGAATTAGTTTGAGTACCGACAATGCCAAGGTAAAGAACAGGAAGCTAGAACAGGAAGCTAGATAAAACGGTCTTCCTTTTCTTTGATGTGCGCAACTCGTTGGACTGTGACTACTCCCTAATCTTAACAATTGGTCATCTCAACTGGAGAGGACCCACGGCATAAAGATCCAAGGGGCCGCTTCTTTCAGGACACCCATTTTCCCACAGGGCTATTGAATACTATGTGTATATATATATATATATACGCACCTCTGAAACCAGGATTTGGACACCTGACCCAATCCGCCGAACCCCACGAGCCCCCCCCCCCCACCCACCCCCTGGCCTGCGCGCAGGCGCTGGTCGCACAAGGCTGGGCCCCGCAAAGCCGCCAGCACCCGCCGGGGCGGCTCAAAGCTCTGCCGGCTGTGGAGCACCTGCGCCGCTTGGAATTTCGCCGAACGCGGGGGGGGGCAGTCTCGCCGTATGAAAGGAACACACGTGGAAACGAAATCCCAAGGAACCACAGTCCACTTCAATCGGTGGGCTTGCCGAACCGATGGTACACATATTGGCAATGAGCAGCTACTGTGGCCAGTTGCCAAAAAATAAAGAATAAAAAGACTCCTTCGAGGGCAAATAAACTGAAAGTCAAGGAACACCCCGTTCAATACCTGCAGCTAGAGGGTCTGTTGGGCCTGGTTTCCGTGAAAACCAACAAGAAGACTGGTTCAAAGGAGAAAAAAAAAACAGAAGCAACAACTCGTGGCTTCTTTACAAAAGACTTCGTCTGAGGGTGGCTGCGAAGCAAAAATCATGCAAGCCCAAAAGGCGGGGTGCTTGCTACCTGGCGGAACAATTTGGATTTTGGAGGGCCTCTGTCCACTTTCATGATTGTTGCAAGGAGAGTCGTTGCAAGCAGCATATTGCTTTACTGGTAGTCCTGGCAGCCTACCATTGTCCACGCCATGGGGTGAACTGCCCAAATATCGCCACAGCCCCCCCCCACTCCCCCTCCAACCGTTTCTCAAGGTTGCTTCCTGAATCTTCCCCTATCAATTTGAATCCCAGTGTCGGTTCGCTGCAAAGCCAATGGAGGAAAACAAGTCACTCTAGGGCCACACGGCGACTGAAAAAGCTCGGGCCAGGCAAATCTCCAAGGCTCAAGTATCCCCCTGAATCACGCCATTCGCCACAAGGTCAAGGACTCAGCGATGACTCCGGTGCCTTCCTAGGCGTGTGGTAAAACTAGGCAACAAAACCACTTTCTGCGCAAGGGGCCGTGATGTAGCCTGTCCAAAAGTTGTTTCTGACAAAAGCACCCCCCTGGCAATGCATCGGAAGGCGGACATCCAGACTGCGAGTATCTCAAATCCGTCACTTCTCCCCGATCCCACTGTGTCCACGGCCCTGGTGTTGTCAACTATGAGGATGTCCTGAGATCCCGGCAAACCAAAACGAACGCCTGACGTCAGGGAATCTTGAAACTTGCACAGCTACAGGGCATGTTCAGGCATGGGTTCTGGAAATATGGAGGCTATATCTCTATCTATCTATCTATCTATCTATCTATCTATTTATCTACCTACCTACCTACCTACCTACCTATCTATCTATCTATCTATCTATCTATCTATCGATCCATCTATCTATCCATCCATCTATCTTATCTATCTTATCTATCTATCTAATCTATCTATCTAATCTATCTATCTAATCTAATCTAATCTAATCCAATCTAATCTAATCTAATCCAATCTAATCTAATCTAATCTAATCTATCTATATATGTTTCTACATGCCATTTATATACAGGGTATATACACCCATACCTGAAAATGCACACATGGTACAAGTAGTTGACGCATGATTTGGCAGGTGCACCCTTCATCAACGTGGTTTTCACTCGAACTGGCCACACTGCATGTATATCAAGTTACCTGCCTCATACGTGAAAGGCACAGTGGACAAAAATTGCACAACCCATTGTGCAGGGCAAGGATAGTCCTATCCCGGAAAAAAGAAGATCATGCATGAGTTGCACAAGCCTCATCAGATTAAACCCGTCTCTGCCCACGAAACCATCAAAGAACAGGTTCTTGCGGTAGGAGGCAGGACAAACTCCCGTCTGTCCCGCCAACGTTTGCAGGGCGTTCAATGTCAAAAGACCATTGGAATCTGGTCTTTGAAAAATGTTGTGGGGTTACAACCCAGCCGGTTAAGTCATGATCAGAGTAACATGTGAATTCTTTGGCCATAACGCATGGGGCTTGGCTGTTAACCGGCGTAATCTTGTTTATGGATTTCCCTTCATATCAATTTCCTGCGCCACCCTGCAAGTCTCGCTGCCCGCCAATGAGGGGGTGTGCCTCAAATCAGCACCTCAAGGGGCCTGCGCCACACAAGGATAAGCCTATCCGATGTGTCCGCATTCGCAACGAACGAGACCAAATCCGAGGCGCCCCCTTCTTCCACGCGAAGGCCACCTCTTTCTCCAGCATAAACCGCGCGACGGCGTTCAGCGCCTTCTTGTCCACCGGCGTGAAGTCCCCCAGTACCACCGCCTTCTCCCCCACGTTCCTATGAGTTTCAAGGCGAGGACGTTCAGCCGTGGGAGTGTCTTCAAGGGTATCCTGTTGGGGCATGGAATGCCAAACCAAAAGGAAACAGAGAGCCAACAAGGAACGAAGAACTATCCTTTCTCGTTTGTGAAGGACTGAAAGGAGTGGCAGCATGTAGGTGTGTCTCCAAAATCGCATCTGAAACCCCAAAATAACTGCTCAGAGTTCGGCTCCTGGCATCGTTCCACCCAGTGAAAGCTGCGACCATGGAGTTGAAGAAGACATGGCGGCCGGTCCGCTCATCCACACCTCAGTCTCAATTAGCAGCGATTCGGTAACACGCAGTGCAGCCCAATAACAGACAGCTCTCAATTCCTTACCCCACTTGACGACTTGGCCTAGAGAAGAGAACGTACTGCGCCATGTGGGATCCCCAAAGCCCACGCAGGACTCAGAGACTCGAACAGCGATCGCCTTCCCGAAAATCTGCTAGAGCTGCCGAAGAAGTCAAAGACCGACCACGGTGGGTTCCATACAGCCAACTGAGTGCCATCACACACCCTGTCGCTGACACCCATTTGTAATCCTAGCAGAAAGAGGGGGGTGATGAGAAAAGCACATCCATGCCCTTGAAAGACTTCTCGCTGAAACGGACAGGCAAAGCGGAAGGCTCCGAGGTTCAGGTCTTAACTTGAGCGCAATGCCCAAAGGAACGGCACGCCAGCTTGCCGCTGTCAACTCTCGGCTTGTGTTGTGGTGCTTTGCTATCTTGTTTGGGACAAGTTTGGCAGATCAAGACGAATCCGATGCAACTGTTAGGCGTTTAGGGCATTTGTTCAAAAGTCCTCTTCCCACATTTCCTTGTCCCATCTACGAGTCCGGGCGGCGCAGCGCAGGCAGGACCGAGGTCGTGGTGCGGCAGTCCCCGTTGGGCAGCCACTCCCAGCTGGTGCCTCGATTGGGACGAGCCTCGATTCGGGGAATTCAAGGAGCGGGAGGGGTTGGCCGTATCGGAACGGGTATGGCTGACTCTGAGGGGCTCCCGGTGCCCCTTGGTTCTCCTTATGGCTGGCCTTCTAAGGAGAAACATGAACTGGGAACATGATTCGATTCACGCAGGCTTCACCTGCCCAAACGCCACAGTGAAAGACCTCGCGCCGTTCGCCACATGAGCAGTGGGGACCCAAAACCAACTGACCTTGGTCCCAAACACAAGATGGTCATCGGTACGCATGGTGGCTAACCCGACGCTTCAAGCCCAAACCAACCCTAGCACTAAAACCAGCAATGCTCCACAAACATGGGCGGGAAACGGGGTACTTTGTATTTGTGAAACAGAAGACTATTTGCTTTGTTCACTAGCTTGGTCAACCATGCATACTGTTTAAGTGATCCAGACTGTTTCGAGCTTCAATCAAACCGTTGTGTTGCTGTGGTGTGAACAGCTGCTCCTGTTCCTTTTTCTAAAAGCGGGTGACCCGCCAAATGGTGATTTCCCTTGAACTCCCCGCAAAAAAAACGTGATCCCAACTGCTAAAAACACGCCCGCACTTGCGGGCAAGTCTAAAAATATCCCCGACTTTCTTCAGGAACTTCCCACCTTGCTCCAAAGATTCCCAAATGTTCTCCGGAGCTTTGGCTTTCGGAGCCCCGTTTCCCCCGGTTTTTTTTCTGGGCTCCCGTTGAAGCGCGCGCCCGAGGCGTCGGCCCTGCTTCCGCATCGCCTCCTCGGCCTCCTCGCGGGTGGTCACCGCATAGGTCTCCGCCCAGGACCGGCCCTGTGACGACTTGCCGCTTGGTGCCGAGTGGGGAGCTGGGGAAGGGGGTGGGGGGGGGGGTGAGGCCCACTGCCCCAGGTGCCTATCCCCGAAGGGAACTGGTACTCTGTGGTAGAGGTCGTTGTGTTGGTCCCTGGATCTATTCCGGAGAGAATCCAATATGCCACTGTGGATGATTGGAGGATGGATTGTCCCTGGTGGATTGTCTTGTGGATAATCCTGTAAGCGGCCTGCTAAGGGTCTTTTGCTTCACGCGATCATGAATGATGCAATGATATACAAAAGGGGCCTTGAGCCAAATGTTGCGGGAGATCAATTGGTCTGAGAACCAAGCACAAAACAGACACAAATTTCTTTTGATCTCCAGCACTAAGTATCAAATACTATTGGCTTCATGGCCTTTGGCCGTAGCCTTGATGTATGCCGTAGCCATGCTGTATGCCGTAGCCATGTGTATTAAAAATGCCGGATTCATCCTCTTTTCTGCTCGGATGAAATGTCTTGGCTTTCGAAATGGAAAACACTATGTACTGCTTCTTTTTGAGATACCTAGATGTATCAAAGGGTGATGTACAACGCTATGTACACGCGGGACGATTGTGAAACTATTGATCTCTCACTCATGGTATAGTCTTGTAGACGGAGAGGATCAATCATCTGAATTGAGTTCGTGGTGCTGAACGTATGAATCTTCATGGTCAGTCGGATCGACGATACCATCGGCGGCTGCTGTCGGATTGACTGCCATAGTCTCCATAATCATTCCAGGTCGAGTTGCTATAGTCCTTCCACTGCTTCTGATGTCCCCACTGCTTGTTGTAGTCCTTGTACTCCTGCGGGGTCCAGGCTTGTTTCTTCTTGATGTACTCTTGGTATCTCTCAGAGCTGCGTTGCCTGGTTGCAGATTTGCTGCGGATGTAAACCATGAGAGGACTGTGAGAGTCGGAGTCCTGCGAGCCATTCATGAACATGTCATTGTTCACGTGCTTAAAGCGCTCTGCGGATGAGACCTGGTAATCGAATATGGCCTTGGTTGGATGGTTCCGCATGAATTCCAGTTGTTCATCATCCATGCCGTTCATCTCGTCCTTCCGGAAAGCCTGCTGGATGTTCGTTTTGCCACATCCAAATACGAAAGTCATCATCACATCTGGGAATGTTCGATCATATCCTGATCCACACTTCATGTACAGGTGATGACGGACAATGGATTTTAGGGTGCACGAAGTCTCCATTGCATACTCCATTCTGTCCACGAGTGGCAAATCTTTCGTTTCATTCCACAGTCTCTGATATGCTCTCATGAGGATGTTCACGAGACCGTTGGCCGGATTGAAGACGTGCTGGAGTTTGCTGTAGGTGTTCGCTGATTTGTTGGCGTCTCCGGTGATCGCATCGCATCGGTACAAAGTCACGAGCGGCATGATTTCATTTTGAAGATCTTCCCTTGCTGCTCCATGGCTAATTGAAGGATGGATGTGGAAAACTCCAATGGTAGCGAATGGGAGATCTGCCCTCGTTATGTGGCGGTCGTCATACTCGTGGAGTGACTTGTTGGATGATTTCGGGATCATGCCACGAAACTCATCACTCTGCTCGATATGGAGAACGACAATCTCCTTGTCTTGGCCATGTCCTTGGACAATGGTGCGTGTTGGCAATCTCGGTCCAATGTACTTCTTGGATTCAGTAAACATGGATGGTCCTGCGGTTGCCAAGCAATCCGAGGTCGGAATTTCGTATTCGGGATCAGTGCAACTTCCTTCAGTTCCGAAGAAACATCTGAACATTCCGAATGTGGTTCCCCAATTCTGGCTCTTGGTGGAAATGTGTCTTGCCAGAAGTTCCACTCTTTCAGCGGTCGGTCTGGATGACCATTGCTTGATCACGATGCCCTTGTAACCGTATCGGATGAACGTCTTGATGAGCTCCCTGGATTTCTCATCATTAGGACTGAAGAATGCGTCTGCTTCATTCAGGCATAAGATGTGTGCACTGTTCTGCATCATCATCTTTACGATCGGTCGATCCTTCATCGGCATGTTGTACACCTCCCTGTTGTCCAGCTTTGGATTCCTTGTGAGGTTTCCATGGTTCAGGGTAAGCATGTTGATCGCTATGGATGAGGTGAACTCATGCATCTTGAGATAGTCCACAGGAGGACGGTCGGTCGGCTGCATCAGCGATCCCAGGATATCGGCATAGGCTCGGATGATTTCCGGGTCATCATGTGACCTGAGCTTCTTCAATCCAAGCGGAAGCTTAATCGGATATCCGGATCCTGGTTGAGCTTGCTTGTACTCGTCAATGGTGGGACATTCTCCTCGATGAGGGAAGTAGAATTCTTCTTCTCCGAGATTGACATCGGGATCGACATGTGCCAATGAGGCTCTCTCGCGCTCTGTCAAGTTGGGATGAGCTCTTCTTGGATCTTTGTTGAACTTGTTCATGAAGCGGGAGAGGTTTGCCTTGGTCTCCGCGAGCTCTTCCTCTGCGTCCTTTTTGTTCAAATCTGTTTCGAGATAGATTCCCTTGAGTTCTTGGATGAACTCATCTAGGTTCTCTGAATTGTGATATTCCACGATGACTTTTGGCTTGACGGATCTTTCCCCGGAGGGTTCCATCGTCTCTTCTTCAGCTTCGTCCTGATCGGTGGAACGCCGTCTCTTCTTGGTCTCTGAGGAAGTATCTTTTTCCTTGCTGTTCTTGGTGGAATTCACATAATTGAAGAAGGCATCGGCAAATTCGCGGATCTTGGTGTCGTACATCTCGTAATCTTCATAACTGAGATGCTTCTTCATGATCCACTTGTTGCTCGCCGTGAGGCTGCCATCAGGTTCAAGTGCTGCGACAATGTTCCTTGCCTCGATGGTTTGTCTGTCAACGCTGTTCGCTCTTCGGAGGGTCGGATGCCATAGTCTTGGTCCTTGAGGAATGCAAGGATCAACAGTGCATCTCTTGCTGCTGGCACATGGGTCAATGCGGCTTCTGACTCATCGTCGTCAAGGATGACGTCATCGATGCATGCCATGTGGACGTGCATTTTGTGCGGATCTTGTGGTGAGCTTGTCGATCCATGGATTCCTTGGAACAATTTCTCCCCGTGCCTTGCGCTCCTTACATGGCCCGTCCATGGATGGAAATACGAATGCAATTTCGAAACGTGATTTTCCATAGCTCGGGAATCAAGAGAAGTCCTGGCTTATTTCCAATGAAGTTCCTGGCATGTGTGATGCAGGTCAATGCGTCATAGAGCTCGACGGATCCATAAGGACCCATGTTCACTTGTCGTCTGCATTCCTTATGGATTCCATGCCTTGGATCATGTCGAAGACATCCGGAAAATGATCTGCTCATTCTCTCAATTTGCCAGAGGATGAGATCTGTGATCTGTTTCGCCTTGGATGGATCCATGCGGAAGTAGTTGCAGACCTGTTCGACATTCTGGACGGCCTTCTCGAGATCAATGTTGCCGTTGTGGCATACCATCGGGATGATGTCGGTTCCGTAAACTTCGGATTGAGCATTGGTGTAGCAGCAGATGCTGTAGACCTTCTTGATGAAGTCCATGTATTGCTTCTCCGTATGAGGTCCTTCACCTTGGAGTGTTGGCTGCCAGTAATCGTTGAATCTGGCCTTCAACCAGAATACCTTAACTCATGCTCAGGAACAAAGTGGAAATCCGGATTGACATCGAGGATGGTTGAGCATTCCCTGTAGTACTCGTACACAAAATTCAGAGTTTCCGAAAGGTCCTGGATGTACGGATTTCTTGTGGAGGCTGATGTTTGTATCCGATCCATATGTTACAAACCACCGATCATTGGATGTGAGAACAGGCCGCATCACTGGTCGCCTTGGAAGTGCAGGTCGATCACCAGGATGATTGTCGAATTCCGTCTCTTCATTCAGGATGTTCTTTGGTGCTGGCTTGACCTTGGAGACAAGCCTCAATGCTGGTGGCGGTGACTTTGGAACAAGTTTCGGATGCGGCATCGCCTTTGACGTAGGCCTTCCTGCGGGAGGATGCCCTTCTTCAGAACTTCTTCATCTGAATCATCGTCGTCGGAATCTAGATCATAATCAACCTGCTCCATCTTGACATTCTCGGGTTGCTGGGAGGCGGATGGATTCTCATCGGCGACTTGCTCCATGGGGCAGTCTGATGTCTCATCTTCCTCATCACGAGCAGGGGATTCCTTCAACGGTGATGCCCGTCTCTTGATCATTGGCTTTGGCACAGGTGCCGCGGCGCTGGATCGTCCGAAGATCATATTGAGAATGGGCATGTCTTTGAAGTGATCGAGCATACAAGATTGCAAAGGTCGGATTGGTTGTAAACCGAAAGTGGCTGCGGATGCAGACACATATTTCTTGAGATTCAAAATGGGTCAAGTGCAAACAGGCGCATCACGGATTTGAGGATTTGAAAATATGCAAAAGAAAAACTCATGCATCAGAATTCGTGGACATGCGGATCATGCCCAGGTTCCCCAATAAGCAAACATGGATTCTGCTATACCGACTCCTGCAGAGGCAATGATGTCGGGTCCGTGCTTCGTGTTGCGCGCTAGCCACTCGACCAAAAATGCCTTGTTCTGCAACATGGTACGGAAGGGTGGATGTGCATCTACATTCAAGAGATTGCCGGTGAGGACGGCCTTGATGAGCTCGTCTGCTTTAGCTGAATGCTTGGTCAGCGAATCTGCCAGACAATCTTCACTCCGTACATGTGCAAGGTCGTGCATCTGTCCACTGTTGCTTTCCTTTCTCAACATCTGGATCAAATGCATTGTTTCTTTCTGTTCCGGTTGATGTGTTGTGGATGCTGTGGTGACAAGATTGTTCGCATCAGTGCGGATGTGTACATCTGCAATTTCGCCCGTTATGTCTGACCAGAGGCCGCGAAGAAATAATGCTGAACCGTAACAACGTATTAGTCCGTGCAACTCTGCAACAGTAGCGGACATGGTTGTGGCGGTGATCTTGTGCGTCTCACA